GGCCCTTCCTTTGCAACTGTCCAAAACTTTAATAAATTTACTCTCACTTTCACCTGGTCTCATGTCTTGACATTTTCCCTGCACAAGTCAGGAACCTGCACATCTCAGACGGTGCTGGGGCACAACACTTACCTCGACTCAGACCCATTCCTGCTGCAGCAACTGGATATTTAAAAGATAACATCCAGCCCTGGCTGGATTGCTCAGTTGGTTGTAGTGTCATCCTGTATACCAAAAGGATTCTATCCCTGTTTGGGAGGCAACGATTGATGTTTCTTTTTTATATCCATGTTTCTCTCTCTCTCTGTCTTTCCCTTCTGCTCTCTCTCTAAAATCAATTAAAAAAACAAATAAACAAAAAAACCATATCTTCGGGTGTGGATTAAAAAAAACCCAAGAACAATAACATTATGGAAGCATAGCATTTAGCTGTTCAACAAAAAAGAAAGAAATGGTTAGAACAGGGCTGTAAATTTGACCCTAAAAGAAACTTATGAGTAGGTCTGAACAACTGGCCACTCCTCCCTGATTGTATACACTGTCGTATATCACAATATGTACACGACTTAGCTCACTGGAATATTGTCAACATGGTTTTATGGGCGAAACAATACTATTGGACGCCATCTCCAGAGATAGCTTCTCAGGTATACCAAAAATTCCCAATCTGCCCAAGGCACAGCCCTGGGAAGCCCAGTCCTACCTCTGTGGAGTATTTCCCCCTGCGTTTCAGCTTTAAGCCCCTTCAAGGTTGGGCACATGGACTCGATTCAGTTTGCCCTAGTCAAGGACACAAATATCCTTGTTAGTGTTTGTGGTTATGTGTATGTTTCCTCATTGGGTGGAGGTGCTCCCATGCCTTCCAGTCACAGACTCCGAAGTCAGTAAATGCTTCTGGGAAAGCTTTTCCTCCCGGGAATCCTCTCAGAGCCCCGTAGCAACTGGGAACTCACTTCACAGGACAAATTATACAATCTGTTTGTAAAGTCTGCCTGATTTTGCAATATGTCCATTGTGCTCATGTCCCCCCTCCTGGATACCACTTGGGAACTAGATTTAAAAGCTGGTATTTAGTTAAAAACAAATACCCCTCTCTTAGGGAATCCCAGCACAAAAACTTAAAACAACCAAACCCATGCTAATCTTTCAATCCTGACCCAAATATAAAGGAACCTCAGATACTCCTTTAATAATTCTCATGATAAACTATACGATGACTTAATGTCTTCTGTGATGACGACTATTATAATCATCCAACATATAGAGGACATGAAGTCCCTGCCTCAGAAATAGGACTTAATGCTTCCCTCAGAGTCTTGGGTTGAAGGACTTAATTCCGTACTCTCATTTGAGGGCACTGAATATTTCTTTTTGAGCGGGACCCAAATACTATATGCCACCTTGCCAACTCAATAGTGAGGCAGATGTGGCATTAGTACTGATGCTGCCACCAGAAAGACTCTCCCTTCCTTTGCCATTATCCCTAAACTCCTTTGTCTATAAAGCTCAACCCAACGAAGCCAATGCGATTGGGATTTGGGGTATGGCGTTTTCAGTCCTCTCTCCAACTGAAACTCCGTAACAGATAAACACGGCTTTGGGCATGCCTTCACTAGAGCTTTCTTTCCTTGATATGGAGTAGCTGAATTAGAAAAGTCTATTAGAAATATCTTCATTCTTGTATCATAATAATGGAACATTACAGCAACTGCTCTTGACAACAAGGAATAATTGACAGTCTGGCTGAAGTAGTACTAAAAAACCATAAAGCTCTAAATGTGTTGGCTACCCAACAAGATGGTCTTTATGCCCCATTGAAAAATAAATTACAATCTTTGAACTGACAAAACATTACTCTAAAAACTGGGATTGGATAGCTATTAGCTGGATGCCTACAGGAATAGCGACCTGGCTTCATTCTATATTACAGGCTTTAATCACATTGGTTTTTGTGATTATACCTAATTATGTGTTTTACCAGGTGCATCAACTGACTACCAGCCACTACCCAAATAATCCTAGCCCAACATTTGGAGATGTTACAACAAATAAATCCACTGAGACCATACCTACAAAAAAATTTTTTTATATGAGAAATATGTGCTTAGCTTGGCTTCTGATAAGCCTCCATGTTGCTCACATATGGCTACAAGCTCTCTTACTGTGTGCTCAGGAGATGCTTTCTCTCCTACCTGGCACGTGACATTCCAGGAGTGAGCCTTCCTGGTGATGATGGATGTGTTGCTTTTTTAAAAAATCCTCACCCGAGGATATTTTTCCATTTAACTTCAGATAGAGTGGGAGGGAGTGTGGGAGGAAGAGAGAGAGAGAGAGAGAAATATCAATATGAGAGAAAGAAACATCAATGTGAGAGAGACACATCGATTGGTTGCCACCTACATGACCCCGACAGGGCTGGGATGAACTGCAACCCAGTTGCGTGCCCTAGCTGGAAATCAAACCTGCGACTCTTTGGTCTACGGGCTGATGCTCTAACCATGGAGCCAAACTGGCCAGGGCAGGATGTGCTGCTTTATAAATGGTGGACCAGTGATGCCTCCTAATGATTAATCCTTGATGCTTTCTAAAACAAGAAAAATAATTCAGCAGAAAGGAGGAAATGTAAAAAAAAAAAAAATCAATGTGGAGTTAATATTTTCGAAAGAGCAATCTAAAATGGATCTGGGGTGGGTGTGGGAGACTTTTTGCATGGCGTCAATTTTGTTATAATCTGCTCTGCCATCACCTGCCCCAAGGCAGGATATCTCTGCATTCTGCATTTCTTTATCTCTGCATTTTGCATTTCTTTAAGTAACCATTTACTCAAGAAGCCAGTCTTTGCTGACCTTTTGTTCCTTTGTACTATTTCCTAGAATTGCTTCGGGCAAGCCTGGTGCTTGGCAACAGGTGCTTCTTGCCCTATATATTGTATGAATTACCCCTGAATAAAGGAGACTTGATCAGAACCCTGTCTTGTCTCCATTTCTCGTGTCTCTTGTCCCTCCTCATCCTCACTCCCCCTCTAGAGTTCCCGTTGCTCGACTTGCGGGACGGGTCAGGTGGGTGCTCTTAGAAGCTGATCTAACACACCTCCATGTGAAACTGAATTTTTGAACTGAGCTAAAGCACAGATGACTACATACTGATGCAGTCCCTGGGAATGCTCTGCATCACTGAACTCTATACTAAAAGACATAACATTTCACCTACTAATAGACAGAGCAATCAATTATGTATAGCACAGTATAAGACCAGCTACAGTGTATAATAGTGGCCAATTGTGTGGGTTCCTGACTCTGATTCTTTACTGGTTTTCTAGTCCTGAGTAAGTAAGTGAACCTCCCCATGCCTCAGTTTTCTCAGTAACTATAACACAGGGAAAATAGTTCCTACCTGATGAAGCCACTGAGAGAATTGAATTAATTAGTATGTATGAAAGTGTTTCGTAAACACTGAGCACTCCATAAATGTTAGCCATTATTATTAAAGGGGAGACTGATTAAATAAGTTACAATATAATGTAATACTTCATGATTAATATTTTTACAAATGTATAGAAAATCACTGAGGGGGCACTTAAACTTTACTTGGGATAATCAGGTCTTCACCAAGGTGACAGAGGCAACAACAAAAAGAGCCCAAGAGTTGGACAAATAAAGGGCATAGAAATGGTAAGATCTATGTTTTTTCAAAATTTATTTTTCAATTACAGTTGTCAAACAATATTGCATTACTTTCAGATATACAATATAGTGATGAGACATTTATGTACCTTACAAAGTGATCACCACTATAAGCCTAGTATCCATTTGTCACCTTACATAGTCATTAAATGTTATTGACAATATTCCCTTTGCTGTACATTATATTCCCGTGACTTTATCTAAAAAATTTTATTTTGCCAGGCTGGTGTGGCTCAGTGGTTGAGCGTTGACCCATGCACCAACAGGTGGCTAGTTTGCTTCCTAGTCGGGGCACATGCCCAGGTTGTGGGCCTGGTTCCCAGTGGGGGGTCAGGGGGTCAATATTCTCTCTCATGGATGTTTCTCTCTCTCCTTCCCATTTCCTCTCTTTCTAAAATCAATAAAGGAAAATAAATTTTATTAAACAAACAAACAAAACCTCAAGGAGGTTGAGTTACGGGCCTTCCAGCACACAGGAACGGGAAGATATTGGGATCTTCCTTTTTAAAAGTTGGTGTGTCACTGGAGGGACTCAGCAGAGGGAGCTGCAAATTAAGTGTGAGAAAGAACAGCCAGATCACTGAGCACTACAGGAGGTGGGAGTGTTGAAGATGGGGTTGCAGGCAGGGCTTCGATTATAAAAGGTTCCTGCCCGTCATACGATTAGGTTGGACTTCAACCTGAGTGCAATGCCCAGGGAGTCAAGGATTTTCAGCAGGTCCTGCGCAGGGAGCTGAACTAGCATGGCATCAGAAGCATGGCGATGGTCGCATAGGTCAGGCACCCCCATGTACTGAGCACCTGAGGCCCACCCCGCAAGGAGCAGGCGCAGCACGAAGAGCTCTCCCTCTGCCCACATCCCGCCCAAAGCCGGGTGGGCAGTTCCCCGCAAGCTCCTCCCTCTGGGGAGCAGGCCGCCGAGCCCTGCCCTTCAGCGCCCCCTGGCGTCCGCACCCTCCCGGCCCCGCCCGGCCCCGCCCAGCTGCGAGCGCTCTAATTTTCTCCCCAGCCTGGGTCCCGGTGCTTTCTTCCGGCAGCGCCGCGCGTCACGTGGGGGCCCGGTCACGTGAAGCGTGGTCACGTGCAAGCGCGCGCGGCTGGGGGCTCGGCTTCCGGGGATCTGTGCGCCTGGGCTGCGGTCCTGGGCTCCGCGATCCTGCCGACGTGCGCCGCCGGGATGGTGAGGGCGGCGGGCCGGGGCGAGTCGGGGCAGGGCCGGGGCAGGGCCGGGGCAGGGCCGGGGCAGGGCCGGGGCAGGGCCGGGCCGGCCGGGGCAGCGCGTCGCCGAAGCTCAGCCTCTCTTCTCCTTCCCTGCAGACGAGCCGGGCGACCGCCGGGCAGGAGCGGGCGCCGGAGTCCGAGCCCGTGTGGGAGCGGCCCTGGTCGGTGGAGGAGATCCGCAGGAGCTGCCAGAGCTGGTCGCTGGCGGCCGACGCGGGCGTGAGAGGCGGGCCCCAGGGACCGGGCCGAAGGGGCGGGCGGGAGGGGGGCCGGGGGCGCGGCCGGCGGCGGGAGGACGGGTCCCCGATGCTCCCTGCCCCGAGTCCGTCCCGCTGTCACCTGTCATAACGCACGTAACACGTCCCTTCTCGCCCTCGGAAACCACCCTGGCAGTGCCCGGGCCTCAGGGAGAGCGGGCCGGGCCTGAGCCCTCAGTGCTTCCCGGCGGCCGGCGGCCCGGACGCGGGCCTCTCCTGCAGGGGCAGAGCTGAGCCCTGGCCGGGCCCGCGCTGGCCCAGCGAGGCGACTCGGTGCGCCCGGGCTAGGGGGCGGTCGACTAGCTAGGACTGGTTATCTTGAGGGGCTTCTTCCGGCGGGTGGCCCGAGAAGCTCAGAACTGTGATTCCAGAGTCTCCTACGAATGTTTTTTTTTTTTTTTTTTTTTTAAAGTAGTGATTTGTTATTTAATTCTTTGTCTGTGATCCCTGTAGAATGACAACCAAACAGGACTTTAAAATTCCTTCAGACGAAACAGCAAGTGCCCATGGCTACTTGGCACTGTTTTGATGAGCTTTCTGAATGTTTTTCAGTGCCCCTTGGCCGTAGTCCTGACAAAACCAGCCTCCCTTGTACATTCCAGCACACACGCAGATGGAGGGAAATAGGTTCCATTTTGTTTCGAGACAAAAAGTGGATGCATATAATACTGATACTTCTGTACGTTTATTTTCTTAAAAGCTACTGCAGTTTCTACAGGAATTTTCACAGCAGACTCTCTCTAGAACCCATGAAATCAAGAAACAAGTGGACGGACTAATTCAGGAAACTAAAGCCACAGATTGTCGCCTACATAATGTCTTCAATGACTTCCTTATGCTGTCTAATACCCAGTTCATCGAGAATGTGAGTTACTTAGTTACATTAGATTTATAAATAATGCTTTTTGGAGGAACAAGAGTCATTGTAATACTAAGTGATCTGTTATTAGTTTCCCTCCAAATTTTTCTTTTTTGTTGTTAATCCTCACCTGCGGATATTTTTCCATTTATTTTTAGATAGAGTGGGAGGGATAGGGGAGGGGAGAAACATTGATGTGAGAGAGAGACACTGATTGGTAGCCTCCCACACGACCTGGATTAGAGGAAGGGATTGAATCTGCAACCCAGGTATGTGCCCTTGACCAGGAATAGAACCTGAGACCCTTTGGTCAGAGGGCCGTTGCTCCAACAGCTGAGCCAAACTGGCCAGGGCTCTCTCCTGAATTTTTATGGAAGTGGTGGTTCTTGGTAATTTAAGCTTCTTTAGGATTAATGCCTTTTCAAAAAAAATTAAAGTTTTTTTAAAAGCCTTTAAAAAATCTAGTGATAAAATTTCCTCTAGTTTTTCCATCCCTTTTTAATTATGAGAGTAGTTAGCAGTTGTGCAGAATTGCGTGGCACTCAAACAAGCAAGCCTTGATTATGGCATATTCTTTAAAGAGAGTCATGCACTTGGTCTGATCTCTGGGCCACCAACATGTGGCTATAGTTAATAATGTTCCATTATGTTCTGATAAATTATATTAAAGGCATGTATCAGTCTACTTGGGATAGTCTCAATTAACATTTTGTTATGATGGTTGGACCTATGATACAGAATCAAATCTAAACAGATTACTGAGCTGTAACACCAGATGCAATTTTGTCTGTATATTTATTGAGTTCCTGTTAAGTGCTAGGTCTTAGGAATACATAGATAAATTAGATAGAGCCTCTCCTTAAAAAAAATCACAATCTTCCTTAATAGTGTAATTCTGGAATAGGAAGGAAGCAAGTGTGGCTGGAACCCAATGACTGAGGGTGAGACTATTAAGAGATGAGAGTCGAGAGGAGGTTTAGTTAAACTGTTCTATATTTCTCATGTGGTGGCCAACTTCCTGTGTATCAGCATTAATTAATCTGTGAAAAGAGGTTTAATAAAATAGGCTATTTCCTAGGATTGTTGGATGTAAAGTAATAGAAAGGATTTTGAAAATTGCAAGATTAAAGAAAGCTCAAGATTCTGGATTCTTATGAAATGACCAGATACAGGTATCTTATGCAGTATGTTTGTGCATTTTTTAGTAGTTCAGGTTGAAATGCCATGACTAACCTTTTAGAGGGAGCTATGTGTAAATTAAGATCTTAATAAAGGTCCTAGAGATCTCTTTTCCAATAAGTTTAAAATACAACAAGTACTCTAGTAAACTCTGTGGTCATATTCTGGTTGGCTACACCGAATGTCCATGTTTGTTTCTGAGCATCTTTCTCACTGGAAGAGAGAGTGTACAGCACTCTCATCTCTACTTGACTGGCATATGCAGCCCCATCAGTTTTTTACCAAGCTGAGTATGGTGCCCTTTTAAATATGTATCCTTGTTGATCTCATTCTGCTGGATCAGACACTCAGCTCTTCTCTGCAGTCAGTGTCGCAGCCCTAGACTGGGCAAGGAGTGAAGTTGGGAGGCAGCTTATGTGCCTATACTATAGTGGTATCAGATTGATACTTTGGAGTTAGGGGACATCATGTACTTCTTTTTCTGAATAATAATTCTCTTGTTTTTAGCTTTTCTTTATTGCCCAAGTTTTCTTTGATTCTGAGTGTACCATGATCTAGCTTTTGTGAGTTTTTTTGTTTTTGAAGATTTTTTTTTTTTTTTTGGAATAGGTTTTTTTTTTTTATCCTTACCTGAGGACATTTTTTTGTTTTTTATTCAGATAGAGTGGGAGGGAGAGAGAAGAAGAGAGAGAGAGAAACATTGACGTGAAAGGGACACATGGAGTGGTTGCCACCCACACGACCCAACCAGGGCCAGGGACAAACTGCAACTGAGGTACGTGCCCTTAGCGGGAACCGAACCTGGGTCTCTCTGGACCGCAGGCTGATGCTCTAACTGCTGAGGCAAACCGGTCAGGGCTGGAATAGTTCTTTATTACTGTTCACTTCTTGGATTCTCTGTTTTCCATCCATATGTCTATCCCCTTAGTCCTTTATGTCTCTCTTGTTTCATTCTGCAGCCAGAATTCCTCTCTGGATGTGCCTATTGCCACTGCCAAATTGAACTGCTTCCCAGACCCCTATGTTGGGTGTGATACATGTTCTTTCCATTCATGCTGAGCATGATGTATTGAGAGTACAGCTAAGACTCTCAAAATATCTATAGGTGGATAATATATTTGGCAGTGATTTGGCTCTTTATGTATTTTCTTTGAATCCCGACATTGGTACTCATGTATTATAATTCTGGCTTGAGTGATGGTACCATTTGGTTTCATGGTTTATTAGAAAGATATTCTAAGTCAGGTAGGTTTCTGGGTTTTAGTAATTAACCTCAGAGGCAGCTACAAGGTTGCAACTGCATTATGGAGTTACTGAAACTGAAGAGCAGTCAGGACTTTGTAGGGCAAGAGAAATTAGTGCCTTAGTAAAGGCTCCAGAGAGGATTCTGAAGGAGGAGAAATGCTAATTAATAATGAATTGCTTCAGTATGTTAACAGAAGGGAACACAGTTCTTAATTATTAACCTGTTAATTTAGGAATTTTGTCCTAAAACATTAATTGACCTAGTTAATTTTTAGATAGAGTAGAAGGGAGGGAGGGAGAGAAAGAGAAACATTGATGCGAGAGAGACATGATTGGTTGCCTACTGTATCAGCCCAACTGGAGCTGGGGATCAGATTTGCTACTTAGGTTCTTGCCCTTGACTGGAATCAAACCCAAGACCCTTTGGTGCGGGCTGATGCTCTAACCGCTGAGCCAAACCAGCCAGGATGTTAATAACTTCTTTTGTAGCATTTCCCAAGATTATAATTTTACATTTATTGATATGCAGCCAACTCCCCTACTGAATCAAGGCCTGTGTTTTTGCTAAATGTTTTATTCCTTGGGCCCAGCACAAACCTGATGTATAGGGACTCATTGAGTATTTGAATGAATGAATGAATGAATGAATGAGAGAACACATACATGGAAAGGACCAGGGCTATATAATCTGTTCAGAAATCCCCTGCCTCTGATCCCTTTTTCTCCAGTTCCCTATCTTCACCTCTTACCATGTCTCCCCAAATGAGGAAAAGATACTTTGAGCAGAAATACTCAAGATATTTTAAATTTTGAGTATGGCCCAGCTGGTATGGCTCAGTGGTTGGGTGTAGACCTGGGTAAGAGGTTGCTGGTTCGATTCCCAGTCAGGGCACATGCCTGGGTTGCAGGCTCAATTCCCTGCAGGGGGGGCTTGCAGGAGGCAGCCGATCGATGTTGATGCTTCTCTCTCTCGTTGATATTTCTTTCTCTCACTTTCTCTCTCTCTACAAACCAATAAAAAATATTTTAAAATGGTAAATAAATATACAATGCTGAGTATGATTACCTGATTTGAATATGATAAAAAAAACACATGAACCTGTGAGGTCAGCCTAGTAAGGGTGAAGGAAGTTAGCATTGATTATCTACTGTGTACCGAGTACTTGAGATGCACAGTCCTGGTTACTCTAAACATTTTCCTTGGATTTTATGTATTTGCTGGTTGGTTTCTGAGATGTCATGTTGGCTTTCCAGCTGCAGGCTGTTGATATTTTCTGAGGCAGTTTTTAATGACAGGCAGGAAGAAAGTAGGATGTTGGTGCTGTTCAGACTTCAGGGTGAATCTCAACCTTTTAGGGAAAATGTTCTCACTGTTTAAATTCTGAGGCTTCCATGTCTTAAAGTCTTCAATTTTAAGAATTACTTACTTGCCCTGGCTGCTGTGGCTAGGTTGGAGAGTTGTCTCGTACACCAGAAGGTGGCAGCTTTGATTCCTGGTCAGGGCACACACCCAGGTTACAGGTTCATCCGGTCAGGTCATCTACGGGAGGCAACTGATCAGTGTTTCTCTCTTCTTTTCCCTTCCTCTGTAAAAAAGGAACTTAAAAAAATTACTTACTTTTTTGTTCCTGTGTTTGAAAAGTACTTTCCAATTTTCTGATCTTTCAAGAACAATTAGGAAGAATGATATGGAAAAAGAAGCATCTGAAATCTTATCAGCTAGAGGGGAGCTGCTCAACACTTCAGCATATACAGTCCAAATCCATTTCCCATGCAGACATTGGGTGTTAGGTTTTCTTTCCTTTCTTGTTATAAAAGTAATGAACACTCATTGTAAAAGAGATTGGCATAGATTAAAAAATATTAAAGTGTACAAAAATTAGCTGCAAAAATCAACTATAATTGTGCCACTCCAGTTAACCAACCATGGAACATTTTGGCATATTTCCTTCTACTCTTTCTCTTTTTAACTTTAACCTTTTCTGGATTACTCCGTGTGTGTGTGTGTGTGTGTGACCTGCATTTTTCTTAATGTTTATTCTTTTATAAGCATTTTAACACATCTGTAGGGTGTTTGTGAACTTAATTTTTATTGTTCTTATTCTATTCTATGACTAGATCATAATTCATTAAACAATCCTGCAAAATAAAAAATTTTAGTGAAGTGTAATCTATGCCTAGAAAAGAACAGATAATAACTGCGGGTGCTAATATTGTGCACCGTCCTGCATTAACAGATTTTAATATTTTGCCGTGTTTGCTTCAAAAGCACCAACTCCCCATTTTTTTCTTAACTCTACACATTTTAGGTGAGGGTTCCTTTGTACCTGGAGAGTATATGTGTGTGAATGTGTATGAATGCATATGTGTAGTATGAGGTAGGGATCTCATTTTGTTGTTTCTCATGTGGTTGACCTTTATCATGTAGTTATTTTCCTCACTGACTTATGTCTATTAATGCATGTGTGTGCATATGTGTTTATGTGAAAATAAAATTAGGCTTACATGTAATTCTGACCTCTGTCTTTATTTATGTTTATCTGCTGTTTGTCAGTATCACAATCTTAAATACCATAGGTTTCTAATAAGTCCTAATAGGGTAAGTCCCCATGACTTCTCTGTGTTTATAATTGTCATACTTACCCTTGGTTTTTTACTCTCATATGTGAATTTGAGAATTATCTTTTTACATTCCATAGAAAATCCTATCAGCATTTTGATTGGCATTGCCTAGAATTACAAATTTGGTGTTTGTGACTTTCCACTGTAAATCGTGATGCCATAAGCATCTTATTGTTTGCATTTGTGATTATTTTTCATGGAACTAAATTTCAAGAAGTAGAATTCCTGGGTTAGAAGATACGGACATTTAAAAACAACATTGATCAGAATGGCAGATGTCTTAAAAATGTGGATAACATCCACTGCTGGAAAAGGTTTGGGAAATGGGCACTTGAATACATTGTTGGTGACAGTGTGAGTTATCACAGATTTGTGGATAGTACTCTGGAAGGAGCTACTAAAATAAAAAAAATAGTGTTGTCCTTGGACTTGGCATTCCTGTTTTGGAAAGCCTATAAAAATAAAAGGGACAGGGCCTAAGATATAAGTGTGCATATATTTACAGCAGTTTGTTCATATGAGCAAAAACTGGAAATCTTAATGTTCACCAATAGGGAGTTGTCGAATTAGTTATGGTTAAGTTCATACCATAGAACATTATGCAGATATTAAGAAAATGAGTCAAACCCTGGCCAGTTTGGCTCAGCGGTTAGAGCGTCGGCCTGCGGTCCGGAGAGACCCGGGTTCGGTTCCCGCTAAGGGCACGTACCTCGGTTGCAGTTTGTCCCCGGCCAGGGTTGGTCGTGCGGGTGGCAGCCACTCGATGTGTCCCTTCACGTCAATGTTTCTCACTCTCTCTCCCTTCCTCTCTCTCCTTCCCATTCTATCTGTACAAAAAATGGAAAAATATCCTCGGGTGAGGATAAAAAAAATAATAATAATAAAAAAAAAGAAAAAAAAAAAAAAAGAAAATGAGTCAAATTTGTAAGGATTGACCCAGAAAGTAGCTTATGAGAACATTAAGTGAAAAAGTGGGGCAGGGAACCGTATAGCATAAGTGGATTTTTATTTAAAAGCAGGAAGGATGCAGGAACTCTGAATATGTGTAAATGTGTGTGTAGATTTGTGTAGGAGCCACAGGAAACAGGAGCATACACTTCAACTGGTTATTCCAAGGGTTAGGTTGGAGGTAGGGAAGGAAATATTTTTAAATATATCTCTCTTCTATGTATTTTTATGTTGACTTTAAAATTTTAATTGAAATACAGTTCACATTCCATAAAATTCACCTTTTTAAAAAGTAAGTCATAGGTTTTATTACATTCACAGAGTTTTGTAACTATTACCAGTATCTAATTCCAGAACATTTTCATCACCCCACTGTTTGTAACAGCATATTTTATTTTGGGAATTTATAAAACAATAAGTACTTAAAAACTAAAGGAAATCACAATGAGTTGCTGGAGTGATAGCTCTGTTTTGGGAAAGAGGGGCCTGTGTATCCATGTGCACGGGTCATTCAGACACCTGGCCTGCTGGTAAATCATTGGTGGGTGGCGTGGTCTGTTTTCATATAAATAGAATAATAAAATTTACCAACCATTTGAAGGAACAGAATGAAAATAACTTTAACCTTTGCCATTCTATTGCTCAAAATGTTAAAGCTCATTACCTCATAGTGAAGGTCTACCAGTTGACATTCTTAGTAGCCCCACATTGAATTGCCAGTATCATTGTCCTGTCAGTGCTCAGTATTAGGTTAAACAAAAAGGTGTGAAAACTTATCTTACTGTTTTTGTGACTCTGGCCAACAATGACATTGAACTTGTTTTCATGTCTGCTAGTCAATTGTATCTTTTTATTTATTTTTTATTTAGTTGATCTTTGCTTTTTGTCTCTGACTAGTGACTTCACCCATTTGTTAAATGTCATTTTTTCCTGTCTTTATTGTATGTTGAATTTATCCTTTTTTATTCTATATTGAATTTTTTCACTGTGATTTATTTCAAATGATGGTCTAACCATTTAAAAATGAATTTCCTTCCATATTTAGCGTGTGTATGATGAAGAAGTGGAAGAGCCAGTTCTCAAGGCTGAGGCAGAAAAAGCGGAACAGGTACTTGCATTTAATCACTCTTCCATGAGTTCCTGACTTAGAGACGGAAGGTGATGGAGGTCTAGAATGTGGCTGGTGCATGAGGGATATTAGGGGAATGGGGAAGACTGCTCCTGTCCGCTGCACAATTGAAGTCTTACGTCTGACATTTCGTGTATTAAGAAATACACAGTGAAGTTCCAGCATTCCAGCAGAGAGTTTCTGTACGGGGCCAGTTAGGCCTCACAGATCTCTGTCTCTTCTTTGTCTTTTTTTCTTTTCTTCATCTTCTTCTTCCTTGTCTCCCTTCCCCTTTGAAAATATAAAAACCATTTTTACATTGAGGGCTACATAGGAACAGGCCAGAGGCTGGGCTGTAGTTTGTGAGTTCTTTGAAGACTGTTTATTTATCCTCTCGTGACTCCTTTGATTCTTACTCCGACCAGTGAGAAATGGCAGTAAGGTGAATGCTGGATTAGTCCACACACTGGAGGGCTCCTGAGTACCACAGGGTGTGTTAGTACAGAGGATGCAGACTGCGGAGTGAACATATATTGACTCGGGGAGATTGCAGGGACCTGGTGACTTGGAGAACTGCCTTTACGAGGTTACAGTCTTGCTAGGGTGACAGGATGTAGCATGTCAGCTGCATGGCTGCTAACTGACTCAGATGTTCGATGCAAAAGAACTCAGAGGGATAAGATAGCAGAGAAAAGTTTCAAGGATGAGATGTTAACTGACAGAAAAGAAAGGCCAGATTTTTAAGACCATTTCAACAAGAAAGAATGCCACAAGCCAAGGTTCCAGGTTGAGGGGTGTACCTGGTATTTTATGGACTGTGTTAGTGGACAATACTGGAGGTCAGAAAAGAGGAAGGGCAAGGTGGGGATAGGTAGATGCTAAAGGGCTTCGTAAATTGGGCTAAGACGTTGAGGGGCAGCAGACTCTACCTTCTTTGCCCTTCTCCCCCATGGCTTCCTGTGTTCTTCCTGGGTTCTCACGTCACTGCCAAAGCCTAGAGAAAAGGTTCTGGACTCTAGCACTCTGGCAGAGTTGTACCCTTTTCCTCCCACTCAGGAAAGCACAGTGGAATGTGACCAAGTTTATAATAGGAGGCGCTTTGAATCAGTTCTAACTCACTTAAAAAGTATAAATCATTTGAAAAAGTTGGTACTTTATCAGTAACTGTTACTTGTAGCGTATGAAACTGTTAGACTAGAACAGGATATTAGAAACCAGTTATAGTTGTCCCTATTCCCAGCCTTTTTAAAAATAAAGTTTTAATTATTATTATTTTAATCCTTACCCAAGGATATTTTTTCATTTTATCTTCAGATAGAGTGTGGGGGGCATCAATGTGAGAGAGACACATTGATTGGTTGCCTTCCGCAGGACCCCAACCAGGGCCAGGGACGAACCCCAACTGAGGTACATGCCCCTGACCGGAATGGAACCCATGACCCTCTGGTCCGCAGGCTGACGCTCCAACTGCTGAGCCAAACCAGCCAGGGCTAAATAAAGTTTTTAATAGTACTAAAGGATTTGTTAACTCTTTAAGTGCAATAGTATCCAGTTTCACCAAGACGGGGTTCAACTTTAAAGTGAAGGTATTCAGTGAACTATTTTTAAAAAGCCACTACTGTATATGTTTATTTCACAAACATGTGTTCACACCCATAGTGCAGCGTTAGCTACTTAATTAGAACCAAGCACACCAGAGTGGAAGCAAGGTGCAGCCAAAACAAGAAATCCCAATTAGAAACACTTTCATACTCGAGATCAAAGTGTGCGATTCTCATAGGGTTTTCCCTTTTGGCCCTCAGAACAATACTGAATGGTTTGGTTCTTTCTATAATTATGTATCAGTTTCTAGAATATTTGTGAAGGGGGGAGATGACACTACATTTTTTTTCAATATTTTTTACAACTGATGACATAGTTGAGTGTAGGCAGGGACTGTCATTGAGAGCTGCTGTTGCAGGAAATGGAGACTGGACTGTTTCCAGCAGGCTGGTGATTTATACAGCTTCAGGGGTTGGTGGGGGAGCTTGTTCCAGGGTGATGAACAAGGCAGATTAGAGATGAAACCAACCCTCTTGTGGTTAGAAACAAATTCATAAAGTAACTGTAATTGTCCAGTTATTGTTATTTTTTAATTTTAATTGAAAAATGATACTTCTGGCTGGACTATTTTCTTCTAGTTCTTTACTCCTAAAATTGTCTAAAAGGGCCATTAGTGGGATACAGTCATGGTGAAGCTAAAAGTCTAGACCCTCCACCCCTCCCGTAGCAGGGAAATGAAGTGCCATTTGAAGGCTTGTGACATGCCATTCATTGTTAGTGTACCTTCACCTGAGTTATCTTGCTGAAACATCACACTATATTGCTTTTGTCTTCATAGACGATGAATCTGGAGCTCTAGGACCTTAGGTACTTTGATCCCTGTTCTGAAAATGACAGACTTGAGATTTAAAACTTACCCCAAAGTCTTACTCCAAAGTCTACATCAAGGCATTCATCAGAATCTGACATTTGTTAGCATTTTCAATGAAGATTTTTTTGTGTGTGGGGAGCATGAATTTAGGCTTTAGAGAACATTTGCAGTATTTTATTATGATGGTATCAATGTATTGAAATCCATGCTGAACAGTGTTTTATTGTAGGAGAAGACCCGGGAACAGAAAGAAGTAGATCTGATTCCTAAAGTTCAGGAGGCTGTGAACTATGGTTTACAAGTATTGGACAGTGCATTTGAGCAACTAGATATAAAAGCAGGAAACTCAGACTCTGAAGAAGATGATGCTAATGAGCGGGTGGAACTGATCCTCGAACCAAAGGTAAAGACATGCAGTTCAAATATTTATTGTTACACCTGTTGTGTCTAGCGAGCAAACATGTCACTTAGCATCCTTGTATTGACTATGTCAGGAAAACTGACATAGAGCTTTGGTTGAGCACTTACTAGGTACAAGGCAGCATGTCAAGCTAGCAGAGTATGATTTCAGGGTGTGGTTCCCACTCTCAAGATGCCATCACTGCATTACCAGACGGTGGGAGAGAGTTACCATCATCAGTGCTCTGAGAGAATTGACTTCTGAGCTGGGGAAAGTAGGGTACAGATGAGACTTGAATTGCATTTTGAAGGATGAGAAGGCTCATGAAAGAGATTGTTGGGAATCTGAATTCTGTAGTTGTGCTGAGGGAGACAGCAGAAGCGTTGAAAGGCATTTGGGTTGTTTTCAGATTTGCCTATTATGAATAAAACTCCTGTGTTCCTTCATGAACAGTATTAGTGTAATGGGTATTTATTGGTTTACTATTACTTTCTCAGATTGGCAAAGGAGACAATTGGGGCAATACTAGAATCACTCAAGTAAACACCAAAAGTTGCTATTTTGCTTTTGAGAGTCCTGTGACAAGCATAAGTGCCTTATGAATTGAAACATGCCACAAAAGCAAACTCTCCTTGTCATTCATTTAGCTGCACATTTCTCTCTCAGTTTGAGCTACAGTGTCATACCAAGTTCAGGCTGATCCTTCAGCACTGTTACACTTGCTGGCTTGCTTTTTTTACTCTAGGGATTTAGAAGTTAGCAGTGGAGTCTGGGAAATGTATTCCCTGGGCCACACTTCTTAGTTCCAAGTCCCACACCACTTCATCTTACAGGAGGACTATGTCATCGAACAGTTAGCCCACTTACCACTTTTCTTTGCGCCAAATTGGTTGCTGTTGTATCTTTAACCTTTACATTATCCTCCCCAAACTTTCTGTTGTGTGAAGCATCAGAATTATTCTCCCTTGTTCATAGGGAAGATATATCATGGCCAAGGTTCATGCCTCTTGGGACAAGTCAGCTTTTCCTCCTGCAGTGGAGATGGGAGGTTGTCCTAGCAGTGGAGGGCTTTCATGTCCTTAAACTTTTAATGTGTGTGAGGGATGAGCCTCCAGCATATATTATCATGTACACTGTCTCCTTTATTTCATTCTGATGTTTATCATCTGATCTTATTTTGCCAACTTCACTTTTCTAAGTTATACAGTGTGAATAATTTGGGAGCTGTTATTCTCTTCCTGTAGTTATTTTTTTGCCCAGATAGGTTCACATCGATCTTTTAGATTTATGTTCATTCTGTTGACTATACATATTTGCATAGTTGTCTTTTTTTTTTTTTTTTTTAATCTTGCCCATGCTTCATGTGCTGTCTTCCAGCCTTGGTTTGATGCAGTGTTAAGGAGGCCTCGATTCCCTCTGTGCCTTGTTTGTGACCTGTTTGTCCAGATCTCCTCCATAAAACCTGGACATAACCACCTGTCTTCTCATAGTCATAGAAAATCTTTTGGGTTATTTCCTCAGTGTGCTTCTCTCCAAATTTAGAACTCTTATTGAGGAATCTCAAGAGTGGTTGGTTGGTTTTGCTTATTAGTGCTGCTTTTTAGGGGGGGGGGGCGATAGGGGTAGGAGTCATGAAAGCTTGCCAGAATTTCTGATTTCTGGGTCCTCCTTTTGAACATGCTGCTATGAATTTGTGCCCCTTTTCCTGTTCGATTACTGCTGGTAAATGTTCTGCAGGCGTTTGTCACTTGTTAATATTACTAGGCACTTAAGGCATTTCTGTGTGATTCATCCTTGTTTTGCCATCTTTACCTAGGATTTGACTTTAAAACAAAAAAATCAGTTTTTTTTTGTACTTTCAATCCTGCTGTGTGTCTTAGTCTCTGCTTTTGTTATGTAAATTTTGGGGGTAGTCAGATGAAGCAAGACATCAAATGAAAAACTTAATTTTACTTTTAAGCCTAAATATTTAATGGCTTTCTTTTTTTAAAATATGTTTTTATTGATTTTTTTTTTTAAAGAGAGAGAGGAAAGGAGAGAGAGACAGAAACATTGATCGGTTGCTTCACACGTGCACCCAGACCAGGGATCGAACCTGTAACCTGGGTATGTGCCCTGACCAGTAATCAAACCCACAACCCTTTGGTACACAGATTGACGCTTTAACCACCGAGCCACACTGGCCATGACTTTACTGGCTTATTTTCTCTAATTTTTTACAGGATCTGTACATCGATCGTCCTTTACCTTATTTAATTGGGTCAAAGCTGTTCATGGAGCAAGAAGACGTAGGTCTTGGAGAGCTGTCCAGTGAAGGTACTCTTTGCACCAGATTTTTTTTCCTTTAACATTTATACCTTTTTAAAAATAATTTCAAACTTTACATTAATGTTGTAAGAATGGTACCAAGAACTCCCATGTATCACCCAGCTTTACCAGTTGTCAACATTTCACCACATTTGTTTTGTCTTTCTCTCTGTATGTACACATATTTTTTTTTTCTGAACCTGTTGAAGAGACAGCAAGCAGACGTTATGTGCTATCACTTCTAAATATGTTTGTGTATTTTCTAAGAACAAGTACATTCTCTTATATAGCCATACTATAATCAAAGTCAGAAAATTTACTGGATAGAATACTATTAGCTAATCCTCAGTGACAGTCAAATTTTGCCAGTTGTCCCCATGATGTCCTTTATAGACACTTCTTTCCTCTGATCTAGGATCCAACCCAGAGTCACTCACTGCATTTAATTGTCAAAAAAAAGCTTTTCTTTGCTTTTCACAACCATGACATCCTTGAAGAATACAGGCCAGTTTTTTCCTTTGTAATTAATAATTTTTTGTAATTTATAAGTATTTTATGGGGAGATTCTGTGAGGCTATATATTTTATTTCTCACTGTAGTGAAGATACTTTTAATTCCAGTTAATGGTATAGTTAATCACAAGTTCTTTGATGCTGCTGTATGGTGGTTTGTGGTTTTAAGAAGAAACTAAGCATGTATTCTCACAAATACTGCGACACCCTTGTCTTCCTTCTGAACAGAGGGCTCGGCAGGCAGCGGCCGTGGCAGCATTGTGGGCAGTGAGGAAGAGAACGAAGAAGAGGTGAGCACTGTTCAGTCTAATGTCCAGGTCGTGGCTGTCAGGAAGCTTAGGCTGTGTTTTGTAGACTAAGTAAGTAGCATGTTTGTGAATTAGCAGTCTGTTTTCATAAATCTTTCAACAGTGATAGAAGCCATATTCTGAAGTTTTTTCCTTGGGATTGGATTTTCTTGTCTTGTGAACAAAAACAAGGAAAACTGCTTCAATCCCTTTTACTGTTTCCCTTCCTTCCAACTCCCTGCCAAATCATCTTTTTACCAAAGTATTTGAGGAGAGCAGCTTAGATATATTGGTGGGATCTCTTCCTGAGATGCAGTCTTTGAATAAGTTCTATCTTTGAATAATTCTAGGAAAAATGTACACATTTGAAATTTATTATAAAACCTACACCAGAGGAATGCTTAAAGCATCCACTTATTAAATAGCTTTGTTGTTGCCGGTAGTATCTGCATATCCAGAGTAGAATCTGACTCCCTGCTCTAGTGTCTCGGAGTCTGTGGACCTTGACCACTGTTTTATCTGGCTTTGTTCCTTTAGACAGAATATTTGCTATTGCAAAGGATAGAGACATTTGAGTGTGGAGACAAAAGGAGACAGTATTGTATGCATATACTCCTCTCCTCTCTTTTTCTCCTGTCCTCTTCCCCTGCCCTCCTTTAGCTAGCCATCCAAACATAACACCTAACAGTAGGAAATAAGCTTTTCTTAATGACCTCGCTATAACTGATGGTCATTAGCTGAATCCTTCACTTTTAGCCGTCGATGCAAGTCTTTATTTAATTGCTGGTGGCAAATACTGACGTTTCCTCCTTGGGCCCTATGAAGTAGTTATCCTATTTAGAAGGGAATATATAGAGTGGAGTATAAAAATTAAAGTAACTCAAACCAACTTGGGATAATTTAGTTAATTAAATGTGCTACTCTCACTTTAAATCCAGTGGTCAGAGGTGATAGTACAGATAGACATGAACATATTGTTAGTGATGTTTTAACCATAAAAAATTATATGTTCACTGGAACAGCCCTTGGTGATATTGCCAGTTATCCACTTTATCTATACTTTGATACTTCAGGTGACAGTAATCAGTACAGTAATCAGCACAGAGACTGAGTGTTGACAAGCCCCAAAGACTTAGACCCGAAATTTTACTTCTGTGCTTCTGAGTAAAGCCTCTATTAACGACAACGCCTTTTCCCTCTAAAGGAGTCAGAAGAAGATTTTGCCAATCATAGTGACAATGATCAAAACCAGGTAAGGCTCATGTATTAAAGTGATTTTACTTTTAAAATGAAGCATAGCATATGTACTAAGTAGATACTGAAATTACTTTTGAATGACTTGTTTGAAGATAAGGATTTATTCATATTTACAATTAGTTTTCCTTCAAGCATTTTCATGTTTTTAGGCTAACTACTTCCATACATATATTTTTAAATTTTACTTTATAGTTTTATCTTAATTTTTCTTAGAAAAAAAGAAGTAAGAAACAAAATTGGGAAGCAGAGCCTCTAAAAGAAGGCCCAGTTACCTAAACTGAATCCCTGTCCATGTTTTAAAATTTGAGACAGTAAAGTAGTAACATTAAGGAACACTCAAAAGAATCTTTAATCTTATTGTTTTGGTATCATTCTCTTATTTTTTATATCCTACCAAGGATGTATTCTTTTCATAACATATACATAACCTATTTTCTGCTGGTTTTTTTTTTTTTATCCTCACCCGAGGACATTTTTGCATTTATGTTCAGATAGAGCAGGAGGGAGAGATGGAGAGAGAAAGAGACAGAAACATCGATGTGAGAGAGACACATCGAGTGGTTGCCACCCACACAACCCAACCAGGGCTGGGGACAAACTGCAACTGAGGTATGTGCCCTTAGCAGGAACCAAACCGGTCTGCGGGCCGACGCTCTAACTGCAGAGCCAAACTGGCCAGGGCTATTTTCTGCTGTTTAAATATAGGTGTTTCCTTGTCTTTGTCACTTTAAATAGCCTTTATAATTTGCTTAGTAAACTTCTGTATTTTTTTTTCCTCACCCGAGGACATTTTTCCATTTTTTGTTCAGATAGAGTAGGAGGGGGGAGAGAGAGAAACATCGATGTGAAAGGGACACACCGAGTGGTTGCCACCCACACGACGAACCAGGGCCGGGGACAAACTGCAACCAAGGTACGTGCCCTTAGGGGGAACCAAACCCAGGTCTCTCTGGACCGCAGGCCGACGCTCTAACTGCTGAGCCAAACCAGCCAGGGCAATTTCTGTATTTTTAAGCACACTAATATATAATGCTATCATAGTCTCTAAATGTATATGGAAAATTGTTTATTTTCAGGATTTTATTTTTGAGATAATGTAGTCAGTATTTTCATACAGAAAAATCCTTTGTTATGTGAACTGTTTCCTTAGGTAGAAGTTGGAGTAGAGTTATATTAAAGGCTCTTGTTATTGACTATCTGATGGACATTCCAAATTATAGACCCTGCATAACGATTTTTCTACAGCACTGGGCGATTAGTCTTCTCAGCACTGGGATTATGATTTTTGCTATCATATATGTACAGTGGTACCTAGAGATTGTCTCAATTTGCATTTGTTTCCTAGTTGGGAAATATTTTGTTATTAAAATTTTCAATTATCAAATGAAAGATTTAGTACTTTTTGGTTGGTATTTCTGTTTTCTCAGTTGTATTCACAAATGTGGCTAGTCTCTATAATTTTAGTAGTCCAAATTTTTGTCTGTGGAATATACTATTAAGATCTGTAAATTCAGACAGTTTTTTAAACAATACAATATAGTGATTGAAAGCATTGGCTTAACCATTTCTTTGTGTTGTTAAAGATAGACTGGTTTTGTGTGCCACAGCTAACCTCAGAGTTCTAAAGATTTTAGCATAGTACCTGGCATAGTTTATTGATTTATTTTTTTAGTATCTAGATTACTGCCCTTTATTCACCAAATGCTTGCAAATGTAGAATAGAAAGTATATATCATGGATTTGAACTAATTTAAACATTAAACAGTCTTTAAAACAATTATACATTCCAATGACTGCTTTTATTATTATTATCTTTTTTAATCCTCACCCGAGGATATTTTTCCATTGAATTTTTTTAGATAGAGTGGGCGGGAGGGAGGGATGGAAGGGAAGAGAGAGAGAGAGAGAGAAACATCGATAGGAAAGAGACACATTGATTAGTTGCCTCCTGCACGACCCCAACTGGGGCCCAGGATCAGACCTGCAACTGAGGTATCTGCCTTTGACTAGGAATCGAACCCATGACTTTGGTCTAAGGACCAACTCTGTAACTGCTGAGTCAAACTGGCCAGGGTGTAATGGCTACTTTTATAATTGGAACTTAACAGATAAAGCTCAGTTTGAGCCCTCCAGTCTTTATACTCTCACACTCTCCATAGGTAACTGGTTTTATGATCTGGGAGTATATGTATCCAAGTGTTTTTCTTTGTTTTTGCAAGTATATCTGTGCCCATGGAAATGGTATAGGGGCAAGGATGGTGCAGAGTATCATACTGGGTTTATCATTCTGAGTTTATTCCCTTGATGTCCTGGATGTCTCTTCAATTGTTGCAGCTTTTTTATTCTTTTAACTGTTAATATTAAGTTAGGATGATACTTATTTAGTTTAATGATTTCTCTAGTGATAGATATTTTTAATATTTTATTTTGCTGTTCTCGTGCTAAAAATAAATCTTATGTATTATTTGTTCTAGCTTCATAACTTTTGCTGCATTTAACAAACTGTTACCATTTTTCCTAAAGGCTAAGTAGCAGTATCTCTTTTTCAGCTCGATGACCTTATCTGATAGTTCTAATCTGTGTTTTATACTCTTAGCACACTGCACAAATGAGTGATGAAGAAGAGGATGATGGCTGTGACATTTTCGCTGACTCTGAGAAGGAGGAGGAAGATATTGAGGACATTGAAGAAAATCCTAGACCTGTAAGAAAGAATATAGTTGCTATCTCTTGGCAAGGTTTAGAAGTGGTACCTAAGATTCATTCCTTTTATTGTCATTTATATTTGTAACCGTCTTATTTTACATCATATTTGTATTTTCATTTACACTTTTGAAAATAATGGTTGAGCATCTCAGGCTGCCTTGCAAGTATCACTTTCAGTTTCAAATGTTGCAATTCTATAAGTCAGATCATTCAGAATATGTTCAGTTCTAGAGCTTTAAGACCCTAATACTCCTTCCCTTCCTTCTACCCCAAGGACTTTATGGTAGTTTTCTTATCTAGCTCTTTGAAGTATAAAATAATAAGGAAATAAGGAGCACCTCACTTGGAAGGAACACACAGTCCTATTTCTCCAGTGATATGTATAGGGTACATATGTTTATTTTTCTATTCTTTTTAAAATTTTTCTTTTTATTGAATTTATTGGGGTGACACTGGTTAACAAAACTGTACAGGTTCAGGTGCAGTTCTACAACATACCATCTGTATATTGAATTGTGTGTTCATTACCTAGTGTATATATGTTAATTTTCCTTTATTGATTTTAGAGAGAGAGAAAGTGAGAGGGAGAGAGAGAGAGAAACATCGATGAGAAAGAACATTGATTGACTGCCTCTTGCAGGCCCCACACTGGGAATTGGCCCACAACCTGGGCATGTGTCCTGTCCAGGAACCAAACAGCCACCCTTGATGCATGGGTCGATGTTCAACCACTGAGCCACTCTGGTCGGACTGCATATGTTTATTTTTATTTATTTTTAATTGCATTTTATGTTTTTATTAATTTCTTAGAGAGGAAGGGGAAGGGAGAGAGAGAGAAACGTTGATGTGAGAGAGAAACACTGATGGGCTGCCTCCTGCATGCCCTCTGCTGGGGATCGAGCCTGAAACCTAGGCATATGCCCTGACCAGGAATCAAACCAGCACCTGCCAGTCCATGGGACAATGCCAATCCACTGAGCCACACTGGCCGGGCATGGGTGCATATGTTTAAATTCAATTAGTTAAACACTGTTTTCTCATATCAATTTCTTTGCCATTATTTAGAAAATTTGGTTAGCTATTCAAAAGTAAACTGTACTAGTTTGTATGTTACAAAAAAGTGATTCTTTTGGTTTCTTCTGCCTGTAGAAAAGACCCACGTCCTTTGCTGATGAGCTGGCAGCTCGGATCAAAGGGGCTGCCACAAGCCAGACAGAAGAGGAGCAAAGAGGTACACCTCCTCTCCTTTGAGATGAGTTAACACGGTGGTGCTGGGGAAGTGTGGGAACCTCTCTGAGGGCAGAGTTCCTGTTTCATTTTACTAAGGCCCGAGAGACTTAAATTGTACTTCTTATTCTTTTTTTGGTTTATAGACTTTTTGATAACTGAACACTGTGAACCCCTCTCCCTAAAATGCATTAATACGCATTTATATAACGTTGTATATGCAATTTCAGGGAATTAATGGATTTCTCAGAGAAGCATGACCCCAGATTAAGAATCCCTGTCATAATATATACTCCTATATCTTGCCTAAAAGAAAATGTACTAAACAGTGTATTCTAGTGATTTAACAGGGTAGAAATATGCCAGGATAATTCTTTGAGCAGGTGCAGCCCTGGTACGTACATGACCCTGGTATGAAAATTGAAGGTTTTTGCTTAAAAAGAGGTACTTTTGAGTGCCTCCTATGGTAAGGCACTGACCGAAGTACTCGTGGGGCTGAGATACAAAGTTGGATGGCTTGCTCTGAGTTTAAAAGTCATGATGATGACAGATACATATGTAAAAAATCAGTTGATGGATACTAAGCATAGCAGAGTATTTCTAAAACTTTGACATATTCTTCAAGCCTTATCTGCAGAAGCAAAACCTCAGAAGACATTGAAAGAGAAGAAGGAAAGGAGAACTCCCTCAGATGGTAGGCCTTTTTCGTCAGTTCAGTTTTTCTTTTTCTTTTTTTAACTGTTTCCAGGATTTTCTTTATTTTTTTAAATTAAGTTTATTGGGGTGAAATTGGTTTATAAGATCATATAGGCTTCAAGTGTACAGTCTTATGATACATGATCTGTATATTGCATTGTGTGCCCACCACCCAAAGTCAAATCTTCCACCACCATATATTTGACCCCCTTTATCTTTCACCACCCCCAATCCCCTTCCCTATGGTGGCCACCATAATGTTGTTTGTGAATTTTTGTTTTTCTTGTTTGTTAATTTGTTGCTTTCAATTTTATGTCCCACATCTGAGTGAAATCACATTGTTCTTAAATTTTCTGTCTGACATTTTGCTTAATGTGATATTTTCAAGTTCCATCCATGTTGTTGCAAATGGCATTTCATCTTTTATTAGGGCTGAGTAGTAGTACATTTTATATCTACCACATCTTCTGTATCCAATCATCTGTCAAAGGACACTTCAGTTGTCTCCACTTGAATAGTGCTGCAGTGAACATAGGGGTGCATATATCTTTGTGAATAAATGTTTTGGAGTTTTTCGGGTTGATACCCAGAAGAGGGATAGCTGGGTCATACAGTAACTCTGGTCTTAATTTTTTGAGGTGCCTCCATACTCTTTTCCATAATGGCTGTGCCAGCTTTACATTCCCACCAGCAGTGACTGAGGGTTCCTGTTTCCCCACAACCTCTCCAACACTTGTTATTGTCTTGTTGACAATAGCCATTCTAACAGGTGTGAGGTGGTATCTCATTGTAGTTTTGATTTGCATTTCCCTAATAGCTAGTGAGATTGAACATCTTTTCATCAATCTGTTGGCCATCTTCTGCCTATTTTTTAATTGGATTGTTTGTTTGGTGTTTTGTATGACTTCTTTATATACAGGGGTGGGAAAAAAGTTTTACAGTTGTTTGTATAGAAAATAATACAATAATTAATAAAAATACAAGAATAAACTGTGTACTCACAACTGTAAACCTACTTTTGCCTATGCTTATATTTTGGATATTAACCTCTTGTCTGAGCTGTTGTTTGCAAGTATCTTCTCCCATTTGGATGGTTGTCTTTTTGTTTTGTTGACATTTTCCTCTGCTGTGCAGAAGCTTTTTATTTTGATATAGTCCCATTTATTTATTTTTGCCTTTACTTCCTTTGCCTTTGGGGTCAAATCTATAAAATCTCTATGACCAAGGTCCATAAGTTTAATACCTATGTTTTCTTCTGTGTAATTTATTGTTTCAAGTCTTACAGTTAGGTCTTTGATTAATTTTGAGTTAATTTTTGTGTATAGTGACAAAGAGCAGTCTAGTTTTATTTTTTTGCATGTGGCTTTTCAGTTTTCTCAGAAACATTTATTGAAGAGGCTTTCATTTTTTATTGTATGTTTTTAGCTCCTTTGTTGAAAATTATTTGCCCATATACATGTGGTTTTATTTCTGGGTTCTCAGTTCTGTTCCATTGGTCTGTGTGTCTGTTTTTCTGCCATTGCTATGCTGTTTTGATTATTATACCTCTGAAGTATAGTTTGAAGACAGGTAGTGTGATACTTCCTAATTTGTTCTTTTTTCTCAGGACTGCTTTGGCTATTCAGGGTCCTTTGTGGTTCTATACAAATTTGATGATATTTTTTAGTTCTATTTCTTTATAAAAATCACATTGGGATTTTGATGGGGATTGCATTAAATCTATATGTCACTTTAGGTGATATGGCCATATTAATTATGTTGATTCTTTCAATCTATTTTAACCATTGTGTCACTTTTAATCTCTTTTAATAATGCTCTGTATTTTTCAGTATATAGGTTCTTTACATCTTTGTTAAGTTTATTCTTAGTTATTTTTTTCGTTGCAATTGCAAGAGGAATTTTTTTTCATTTCTTTTTCTGAAGTTTCATTGTTAGTATATATGAAAGTAGTTGGATATATATATTATATATATTTATGTATATTATATATATTTATATAGATATATATATAAATAAATAAAATCCTCACCTGAGGATATATTTTTCATTCATTCTTAGAGAGAGAGGAAGGGAGCGAGAGATACATAGAGAAAAACATTGATGTGAGAGAGAAACAGTGATCTGTTGCCTTCTGTATGCGCTGTGACTGGGGATCGAACCTGTAAACTGGGTATGTGCCCTGATCGGGAATCAAACCTGAGACCTTTTGGTGCACAGGACAATACTCCAGTGCAACAACTGAGCCTAACTGGCCAAGACTGTAACACCTTATTCTAAAAAAGCATTGTGATATATCCTGCTTCCGTCTGTCTGTTGGTGATCATACTCGTAGTTTTGTGACCTTTTGTTCTGTGTTTCAAGTAGAATAACTCCCTCGAGTATTTACTGTAAGGGAGGTCTTCTGGTGGAAAATTCCCTCAGCTTCCGAATGTCTGGAAAAGTTTTTATTTCTCCTTCATATCTAAAGGATAACTTTGCTGAATATATTATTCATGGCTGGTAATTTCTTTCTTTTAGTAGTTTGAATATTTGATTCTACTCCTAGCTTGTAGGGTTTCTGCTGAAAATCTGATAATAATGTAATGGGATTTTCTTTAGGGGTTACTGTCTTCTTTTCCATGGCTGCCTTGAAAATTCTTTCTTTGCTATTAATTTTTGACAGTTTTAAAACAATGTGCCTTGGAGAAGGCCCTTTTGGATTGAGGTAATTAGGTGTTCTGTTGGCTTTTTGGATTCAAGAATCTGACTCTTTTCGTAGGTTTGGGAAGTTCTTATCAACTATTTGTTTGAATAGGCTCTCTGGTCCCTTCTTGTTCTCTTCTTCTGGTATTCCTGTTCTTGTTATAGTGCTTTTCTGATGGAGTCAGAGAGTTCTTTTTTTTTTTTTAATGCTCAAGTCTCTCTCTTCTTCCCTCTGTGTCATTTCTAGATTTCTGTCTTCAGTATCACTAATTCTTTTCCTTCATGTGGTCAGCTCTATTTCCTAATCACACTAGTTCAGTTTTTATCTCAGAGTTCTTCACTCCAGAATTTTTATTTGGTTCTTTTTAAAAGTTTCACTCTCTTTTGTAAAGTACTTGTTTTGTTTATTGATTTCATTTCTGAGTTCATTAAACTGCCTATCTTTGTTTTTCTGTAACTCATTGAATTTTTTTTAGAGCTGCAATATTGAATTCTCTGTCATTTAAATCACGTATTTTCATGTCTTTAATTTTATTTTCTGAGATTTTTCATTTTCTTTCTGAGCTGCCTTGTGACTTTGGTTATTCATGGTATTTGATGGATTTCTTCTCTGTCTAAGCATCTGTGTATGGGTGACACTTCTCTAGCAGATTGATAAGCCTTTTTGTTGTTTTCTAGTAGGTGGCGCTGAGCACAAGTTATATAGTTCTCTTGCATTGCTCTTGCTTTTCAAATCTCTGTGGGGTGGTGGAAAATGTCCTATGTTTCCTGCAAAGGTGGGCGTTGTCTGTGTTCAGGTTGCCTGGGTCTCGGGACCAACCCCACGAGGGAATGTGGTGGGTGATGAGGGTTCCAAATCCGTGAAATCCCAGTGTTGTCCCCTGCAGCCAGAAGCTACCAGCATTGCAGTTGCGATGGGAGGGGGTGGCGTGAGCTGGAGGAAGTAGGCAGCTGCCTTTGTTGCTTTGCTTTCCTAGAAATGGTGACTGGCAGATCTCAGTGGCCTCCCATCTACATCTCTACCTGACCCTGGGGTTAGTCACAGAGTGCGCCTGTCGCTAAGGGAAAAAAATGTTTCTGCAGTGCCAGTTCTCAGGTTTGCAGATAACGTGCTCTGCAACCAGGCACTCACTGCTACAGCCTCTTCTGGGGCCTGCTGCTAGCTCTGGGAAGGGGAGGGGAGGCAGCCGGGCTCTGTGGCGGGGTTTCTCTGTCTGGAATGCTGACTGCCAGACAACCAGACAGCCGTGGCTGCCCCTCTGTGCCTCGTCCCTGCCCAGGTCGCTGTGTTCAGCTGCAGCTCTTACTGCCCACTCCTGCCGGAAGCTCACTGTATCTCTTCTCCTGCCGGCCAAAGGGAGTGTCAGCGGCAGCCTGGTTCCTCCCCTTTGGGGCTGAGTACTGCAGCCATCTCAGGCTGCAAGCTCTGGGCTGCATCGTTGGCATCATCTCAGTTCTCTTTTCCCACCTTCTTGATTTGCTTCCACTTGCCTACTGTTAAGATGTTTTGATGCATGGATCTCTCAGATGTGTTCGTGTGTTGAACAGGGAATCCTTTGTTGAATTATAGCTGTTCAAATTGTTGAAACTTCAAGGGGAGAGGCCTAGTTGAGGGACCTCTCACACTGCCATTCCTCTGACATCACCCATTTCTGTATTTTTAGGTGGCTCTTAACTCAGGAATATCACATAATTCATGAAGTGCACTTGAAATGATTGACAGATGGGGTCTGTCTCTCTATTCATGTTTTCAGAGCATTTAAAAGCATGCTTTGGGAGGGGAGATGTCTGGGGAGGAAAAATGCCGTGAAGATTTGAATTATTAGATTTTCTAACGATCATTCGCTGTCTTTCTGGAATTCTCTAGAAGTATAAAAACTAGGAAACTCTACTATTTTTTTTTTGTTATTTTTTATCCTCACCCGAGGATATTTTTCCATTTTTTGTACAGATAGAATGGGAGGGAGAGAGAGGAAGGGAGAGAGAGTGAGAAACATCGACGTGAAGGGACACATCGAGTGGCTGCCACCCGCACGACCAACCAGGGCCGGGGACAAACTGCAACCGAAGCACGCGCCCTTAGTGGGAACCGAACCCGGGTCTCTCCGGACCGCAGGCCGATGCTCTAACCGCTGAGCCAAACTGGTCAGGGCGAAACTCTACTATTTTTTAATAAAGAATAGATTAGGTTCTTTCAAACAATAACGTGCTGGTGTTTAGTCTGCCTTCTTCCCTAGATTCTTGGTAGGGTAGGTCCTGAATGGCAATGAAACGATGTACTTGCTTCAAAATAAATAAATCTGGATGAAGGGGATCACATATGGAATTCACCCTGCTCCTGTCCTGGCCAGTTTGGCTCAGTGGTTAGAGTGTCGGCCTGTGGACCAAAGAGTCACGGGTTCGATTCCAGTCAAAAGCACGTACCTCGGTTGCAGTTGGGGTCGTGGATGGCAAGCACTCGATGTGTCTCTCTCAGATCGATGTTTCTCTCTCTCTCTCCCCCTCGCTCCCACTCTGTGTGAAGATAAATGTAGAAATATCCTCGGGTGAGGATTAAAAAAAAAAAATTCATCCTGCTCCAGACATTTATAGACTTGAGGGTGGGAACCCAGAGAGCTTCTTAAGGAATTTAGTGGACTGTTGAATGAGTGTTTGTTTGAAGTTTCTCAGACTGCTGGCATTCAGATACCCCTTGTTACATATGGTTAGTAAGCTTCATGCCAATTTTAGAGAAGTTGTAAAGGCTAACTTCTGGAATTTGAGTTCTAGCCCCATCTTCAACTCGCCCTGCAAAAAATTCCTTTCTATTTGCTAGATGAAGAAGATAACTTGTTCACACCTCCCAAGCTGACCGATGAAGACTTCTCGCCCTTTGGCTCTAGAGGTGGCCTGTTCAGTGGAGGGAAGGGGCTTTTTGATGATGAGGATGAGGAGGTAAGTCATTGGTAATTTGAAGCCCTCCATAGCTGTGTGATGGAATAAATACACCTTGTTCATTTAGTAGGGAAAAGATGGCATCTTAGGTGGCAGTTTCTTCTGCTTTTATATTTGGGAAGATTTTGCACTAAGAATCACAAAGAGAAAATGTTGTATCCTGGTGTCCTTTGTTAGGTGGGGAGAGGATGTGAGAGTGTTAATAGTGAACAATTTACTTGATTAGGCAGTTTTTTTTTACCTCATCTGTTGTCTCCTTCTGTGTCTACTTAATTCCTGGGCAGACCTAACTTACTTAGGGGTCTGATTTTGCCATGGGCTTTGCTCTGGAACCGATTTTATGGCATAACAGCATATATGTGTCTTTAAACTTCACAAGGGTACTTTTCTTTAGAAAGCCTCAAAGGCAGCTACTTTTTCCACTGTGTTTTTGAATTGTGTCTTATACCGTGTTACAACCAGAGTGACCTCTTCACGGAAGCCCCTCGGAATCAGGAAGCTCGAGCACCTGTTAATGAAGGTGAGCTTGGACTGAGGCTGGCTTCTTCGTGTACACTTCTCCAGAACTGCTTGCTTCCCGTTAGGAGGTGGATCCCTGACGTTGTTCCCAAACCTTGCTGTTTGTTGGGCATGAAATTGTTGTGTTTGCCTTGGTCTAGTTAAAAACAGTTTATTTGCACTAATTCTTGTCTTGGAAAAAACAGAGTACCATCTGTAAACCCACATCACAATTTTGTTTCTTAGAGAATTCATAAAAGGTCAAACAGGAAAAATACTCTAACAGTATTGAGGATATTTTAATTTAAAGAAACATTTCTGAAATTTTGTGTATAAATTGGAGAGCGGTAATTCCCCAGCCCAGTGTGCATCATAATTTGTGGACTTTTAAAAAGGCACACATAAAAAGTTGAAGAACTACAAATTTTATTCCTTTAGGTTGGCGTGTTAGTTATTTTAAGCAACTTGGTCTCCCAAGGCCACAAGCTGTGGGTTTGGACTTGCTGCAGGGCTGCCTTGCTCGTCGTACTTCCTGGCTCTCCTCCTTTGGCACCGGTGACTTGCTTCGCTTCCCTCTTTCCTGTTACTGTCTTCATTTTTTCACTGATGTTTCAGATTTTTTGCTATTTTTTTTTTTTACTTGTTCATTTTTACTAACAGGAATGGGTAGAGGGGTCCTGTGTGGAGGAGTCCAGCTTGCTCTGTCCCTGTCCCCCACTGTGCTCTGCATCTTCCTTGGCCTCTCCAGCCAGCCTCACTGCTCCTGTCTGTCCAGTCACAGCCATTTCCATGGCGGTCACAGCTCAGATTGCACTGGTTCCAAGAAAAAAGTCATGATGTTGGTAGAGAAGATATGAAGGAATTTTAAAATGACTCTTTTAGGAAAAGTTAGTTTTAAAGGATCTCTGTAGTTGTGTGTTGTGTTGAACATATTTTAGGAAGGTGCATTTAACAAGGAAAGTTATTTTCTTTGTTGAAATGGTTATGTCATTCTTTCTCATTGTAGTGTCTTCATCCTCCAAACTCGGAAAGAAAATTCCAGCTGGAGCAGTTTCTGTATTTTTAGGTATCATATTGTAGGGTTTGTTTTTAAAAACTGTATAAGAATTATTTTGTCATTTTATTTTTTTTTTTTTTTTTTTTTTTTTTTTTTTTCGACACATAGTTACTGTGTTGAATAGTTACCCAACAATAGTTACCTGCCATGTAGGCACAGTGGAAAACACCACCAAGATGATCCCTGTCTGCATGGAGCTTTCACTCTAATGCAAGAGACGAAATTAAACAAATGGGATAGTGATTTAGAGCATAAGCTTTGGTACCAAACTTCCCAGGCTGCCTCCTAGCCTTGGACAAGTCACTTAACAGTTTGTCTATTTTGTTAGCTGTAAAATTAGGATAATAATAGCATTCACTCATAGGCTTGCTTGAAATATTAAGACAATATTGTATTATAATGCTTATTTTTTTTTTTTTTTCAACCTCACCCGAGGACATTTTTCCATTTTTTGTTCAGGTAGAGTGGGGGGGGGGGAGAGGAACAGAGAGAGAGAGAGAAACATTGTTGTGAAAGGAACACATCGAGTGGCTGCCACCCACACAACCGACCAGGGCCGGGGACAAACTGCAACCGACGTACGTGCCCTTAGCGGGAACCGAACCCGGGTCTCTCAGTACCGCAGGCCGACGCTCTAACCGCTGAGCCAAACCGGCCAGGGCTATTTTGTCATTTTAAATTGCCATTTTCTGAGGGCAGGTTGGAGAGTAGGAGGAGCTTCAGAAGACATGGACCAGCATAAGGAAAGAGCTCATTTACTGGGGTTAGCTCCTATTTTGCTAGAAATCAGTGACCTTAGACCTTTTTTGTGTTTGCGTGACCAGGTGATTCTGCATATGGGATGTTCTGTAGCAGAAAAGGCTGGAAGTTATTGGGTCCTGTTACTGTGTTTAGTGGGTGAACTGAAACTAAAAGTTCTTGGTGGGTGGTAGTGTGTTTTTTCTTTTCTGTAAAGTCAGAAGGCCCACCTACACTAGGTCATAGCCAGGCTGTCTTGTTTCTCCACCACAGGGGATGCTGATGTGTTGGGCACAGCCTCTGCTCCATCACTGAAGGAGCCCCAGAAGCCCAAGCAGCCCACCGTGGGGAAGGGCTTGCACCTCTCAGCGCCCACCGACCTCTTTGATGACGATGATGATGACGACTTTTTTGCAGCATCCAGTAGCAAACCCTCCAAGTCAGGTGCCTGTTCCAGCCTGTTTATGAATTTTGCCAGGGAAATAATACCTCAAAGGACATGAAGCTCCTCTGGTTCATATCTCTTGTAGGATCAGAACTGCTCCGCAAGCATTCCTGTCATAGAGTTGTGTCATCTCTGCTTATGCAGTTACGGTACCTTGGAGATCTCTATTTTATGAACCAGCCTTTTCTACTTTGAAAAATAATTACTAGGAATTCTTCCTTAGAGCAGAAATCTGTTCCCCTGACTGGGAATCGAACTGGTGAACTTGTGGTGCATGGGACGATGTTCAACCATCTGAGTCATATCGGCTAGGGCTAGAGTGATTGACTCCTAAATGATCTTTCTGTAGGTCTCTCTTTACCTTTTGTGCCAGTCCACACTACTGTAGGCATAGGATGCTATTGCTTGGATAAGTGTGCAAACCAAATGGTTAAACCATTTGTCCTGTTTCATTTGAGCTGCTGTTGTGTTCTTTGAAAAATTCTAATCTAGTTCACTTGATATTTTTTTTATTACTGTTAAAGAAATACCATAATTCCCTGGACGGTGTGGCTCAGTTGGTTGAGCATCGTCCCATGTACCAAAAGGTCATGGGTGTAATTCTCAGTCAGAGAACATGCCTGTGTTGCAGGCTCAATCCCTAGTACGAGGATGTGTAGGAGGCAACCAATTGGTTTATCTCTCACATCCATGTTTCTCTCTCTCCCTCTCCCTTGCTCTCTTTCTAAAATAAATTTTAAAAATGTTAACAAAAAAGAAGAAATAACATACTTTCTAAATTTATTCTTTGGGAGAGAAGAACTTTTGATCTGTGAATTTTTATGGTGGAATTTTTTTTTCTTTTGTTAATCCTCTGAGGATATTTTTTCCATTGCTTTTTAGAGAGAGTGGAAGGGAGGTGGGGAGGGGGAGAGAGATACATCGATATGAGAGAGACACATCGATTGGTTGCCTCCTGCATGCATCCATCTGGGACCAGGGATAAAATCTGCAACCCAACTATTGCCCTTGACTGGGAATCAAACCCATGACTCTTTGGTGCATGGGCTGATGCTCTAACCACTTAGCGCACCATCCAGGGCTATGATGGGATTTTTTACCTTAATGTAATTTTATGCTATGGTATCTTTTAAAGACAAAGTCAAATCCACTGCCAATATCTTTGATGAGGAGGAAGGAGATCTGTTCAAGGAACAAGCTGTGACTTTGCCAGAAGCTACTGTGAATCAGACAGATAAAAATAAAGCAAGAGCAGAAAAAAAGGTGAGCAGGAGGGAAGACTGGACCTAGGAGTGTTGATTTGGGGCATCTTGTTAATTCCTCTGGAACCCAAAGGGGAAGTATTGTTTCCTTTTAAGTGTATAGTGAAGAACTTCAGATACACAGAAAGTTGAAAGAAGAGTACAATGAACACCCAAAGAACTACCACCAAGATTCAACGATTGCTAGGACTTTGCCCTACCCAGTTGTTTTAACGTCCATTGTTGATCTTCGCCTGAAGTAGTATTGTGTTGGGGGTGCAGAATGTTTTTTCTATCTCTTGAATTTCTACTACCTTTGTTAGCTGTCATTCTCCTAAAGAGAAGAGCTTTTTCTCCTCCTTTCCTACTTTTTTAGTATCCTTATAGGACCATGGAGTTTTCTATTTATGTATTATAATTCATGAGCATCGTATTTTTTTTTGTTGTTGTTGCTCACAGGTTATATTATTGACCTTTATTTGGCCAATGGGATACGTCCCCCTCATTCTTTAAACTCTTCCGGCTGATTCCCCTTCCCTTTGCTGTCTTGCACATCTTTTTTTTTTTTTCTCAAATCTTTATTGTTGGATGTAAAATGTATTACAGATGTTCCACATTTTTTCCCCATTGTGTCTTGCACATCTTGATCTTTTTTTTTAATCCTCACCCGAGGATATTTTTCCATTTATCTTCAGATAGAGTGGGAGGGAGAGAGAGAGAAAGAGAGTGAAACATCGATGTGAGAGAGACGCATTGATTAGCTGTCTCCCATGCGACCCAACCAGGGCCAGGGACCAAACCAAAACTGAGGTATGTGCCCTTGACCGGAATCCAACCCGAGACTCTTTGGTCTGTGGGCTGATGCTCCAACTGCTGAGCCAAACTGGCCAGGGCATTTTTGCTGTTCCTTAAGCACATCTGTGTCATGTCTTCCCATGAAGAACCCTGCCCCTGCCCACAGCCAACCACCTAGGGCCCAGCATTGCGAACCTGGCAGGCTCCCAGTGCGCCTGCCTTCCTGTGCAGCTTCCAGCTGTACCCTCCCATCGTCTCCTGTAGGAAGTAGGGTCCAGCCTGCTGTGCTCCGCCAGGTGTGCCTGCTGCTTTCCCTTGTTTCTGTCTCCTCACACAGTCCCCCTGCCTGCAATGGCTTTGCTGCACCATCTCCTGTGTCCAGGCCCTGTCTGTGCTGAGAAATTTACAAGGAACTGTAACTTATACCAATTTTGAAATTCTTTTTCATGATATTTCTCATTTGGAGGTAATTCTCTGTATGAATCTGATACATCACACGTCCAATGTCCATGGCATGTTTGTTCCCCTGGCGCATGGCCTGGTGCCTTATCCTAGCAGAGACTCAGTACATTTTCTGAATGAACGATGGAATCAACTCTCATTTCCAGGCATCTTGTTTGTTAACTCTCAATTTTCTTTTTCCCAACAAAGGTTACTCTGCCTTCCAGCAAAAATCTTAAGCTTTTGTCAGAAACAAAGACTCAAAAAGGTTTATTTTCAGATGAGGAAGACACTGAGGTAAGGAATTCTTTTTAGTTCTGGCAATTAGTCTGTGGCTATTACATTACAAATTATCTCTGAATCAGGATTTTCTCAGTAGAGGTGCAAGACTTTCTGTTATGTTTTTTAGTTCTTTTCTTGGAAAATAACCTCTTGAGAATACATGGTCCTTTTAAAAAAAAAATATTGATTTTAGCGGGGGAAGCGGGGGGAGAGAGAGAGAGAGAAATCGAATCATTGTTCTACTTATTTATACATTCATTGGTTGTTTCTTGTATGTGCCACCTGACTAGAGATTGAACCCACAACCTTGGGATGTCGGGACAACTCTAACCAACTGAGCTATCCAGCCAGGGAATACACACAGTCTTCAGAGAGCAATGTGTGTACAGTACCTTTCACTCTTGAGTTTGAATCCAGTGCGTCTTCTGGGAGGAAAAGCTCTGTCTTCAGGATGCTCCCGTTGCAGGCTATTTGTTGATCTTCAGTGCGATGAGGCACATGTGGCAGAAGGGAAACCTGCGCACTGCTTGTTGTTTGGTAGCTTCACCAAAACTTGGGCTTAGTGATGAAGTGATAAGCATTCTGGTACAGCTTTTATCTTGTGGCTGGTAACAGTTTGTGGCTGGCACTGGTTTTCAGGCAGCCTCAGTCCTCCCTCCAGACACCTGCCTGGAAGCACCATTTCAGTGGAGTGGCGCCAGCTCTCAGAAGCGTCACTGCTTTTCTGACTCCCAAGCCCTAGGTACTTTGGGAACTAATTTCAGGCCAGGCTTTTAGGGGATCAGAGATCTACACGAGAATATAATGGGCTGTGATTGTCCCCTCCACAGGAAAAATATGTGGACATGGCAGAAACTTACATGTCAGTTCGGATTATATGAACTTTGAGTTAAACTCTAGTGGTTGCTTTGCACTAATGGCCAGATGAACCCACAGACAGCTCTGCTGCATAGAGTGGTTACTGTAGATACGAATGAAACCTTGGAGGCTTGTACTTCATTGATGTCTGGTGTACAGAAGATCAGAATCAACCAAAATCCAGTTAGGGCAAACTCCTGACACATGAGCACAGCGTGATGGGGCCTCACACTCTGGTCTTACTCTGAGCTCCTGCTTCAAGGTCTTTGCACTGGCTCCTGCCCCTCTGGGGAATGCTTTTCCCAGAATTCAGATGGCTTGCTTCCTCACTTTTTCCAGTGTTCTGTGAGGCCTCTCCGGATGACTACATAATCACAAGCCTGCCAGCACTCACCACACTGCACTCCATAGCCCCCTCTTCTGGTTTATCCTTCTCCACAGTATGTATTGCCGTGTGACATTTCATGTCTACTCATTCGTTGTGTCCCAACAGGAAAAGCTCCATGAGGGTAGAACGTTTTGTTCCCTGCCCTTATCCCTAGTACCTACACTAGTGGGTGACACTTGGTAAGGCATCAAATAGTTGTTAACTACATAAAAAAATAAAACAATTTTGAGCAATTTTACGCACTTAAAAGATGTTCCAGTTACTTATTACTATGAAATAAATCACTCCAAAACTTAGTGACTTAAATCAACAAGTTTCATTATCTCTTAAGGTTCTAGAGGTTCAACTAGGCACTTAAAAAATTTTTTTTTTGGTTGATCCTCACCCAAAGATATTTTTTTCATTGTTTTGTTTGTTTGTTTTAAGATAGAGTGGAAGGCAGGGAGGGACTGAGGGGGGAGAAACATCAATGTGAAAGAGACACATTGATTGATTGCCTCCCTTGTGACCCTGACCAGGACTAGGGATCAAACCTGCAACCCAGGTATGTGCCCTGGACCAGGAATTGAACCCATGACCCTCCAGTCCACAGGCTGACACTGACCGCTGAGACAAACCAGGCACTTATTATTTTTTTTATTTAATTAATTTATTTTTGTTACAGATGTTTCTCCTTTTCCCGCCACTGATTCCCCCCTCCCCCTCCTTCCCCGCCCTGTCCCCAGCTTTGTGGTCCATGTCCATTGTTTATGCATACATGCTTATAAGTTCTGTGGTTTATCTCTCCCCCACCACCCCCTCTTCTGGAGATTGTTAGTCTGTACCCCACTTCCACGTCTCTGGGACTACCCCATTCCTCAGACTGTTATGTTCATTATATTCCACAAATAAGTAAGATCATATGATACTTGTCTTTCTCTGTTTGGCTTGTTTTGCTTAGGATGACACTTTCCAGGTCCCTCCATGTTGTCTCAAAGGATAAGAGATCTTTCTTTCTTACAGCCGCATAGTACTCCATTGTGTATATGTATTACTGCTTTTTTATCCATTCGTCTACTGATGGACATTTGGGCTGTTGCCAGATCTTAGCTATTGTAAATAGTGTTGCTATGAACATAGGGGTACATATATTCTTTCTGATTGGTGTTTCAGTTTTCTTAGGGTATATTCCTAGACGTGGGATCACTGGGTCAAATGGCAGTTCAATTTTTAATTTTTTTACGTAACACCATATTGTTTTCCATAGTGGCTGCACCAGTCTGCATTCCCACCAGCAGTGTATTAGAGTTCCCTTTTCTCCACACCCTCGCCAACACTTGTTGTTTGATGATTTGTTGATGGTGGCCATTCTGACAGGTGTGAGGTAATACCTCATTGTTGTTTTAATTTGCATCTCTCTGATGATTAGCGATGTTGAGCATTTCTTCATATGTCTCTTAGCCATTTGTATGTCCTGTTTGGAGAGGTGTCTGTTTAGTTCCTCTGCCCAGTTTTTAATTGGGTTCTTTGTCTTCCTTTTGTTGACTTGTATGAGCACTCTATATATATACTGGAAATTAACCCCTTATCTGATATATCATTAGCAATGATGCTCTCCCATACAGTGGGTTTCCTTTCCGTTTTGATGATTATATCTTTTGCTGTGCAGAAGCTTTTGAGTTTGATGTAGTTCCATAGTTCATTTTCTCCTTTGTTTCTGTTGCCTTAGATGATGTATCAGTGAAAATTCTGCTGTGTTATGATGTCTGAAATTTTGATGCCTACATTTTCTTCTAGGATTTTTATGGATTCATGAGTCACATTTAAGTCTTTTATCCATTTTGAGTTTATTCTTCTGTATGGTGTAAGATGATGGTCTAGTTTCATTTTTTTGCATGTAGCTGTACAATTTTCCCAACACCATTTATTAAAGAGGCTGTCTTTACTCCACTGTATGCTCTTGCCTCCTTTGTGAAATATTTTATTTTATTTTATTTTTTTATTTTTTTTCTTTGTGAAATATTAATTGAGCATATTGCCTTGGGTCCATTTCTAGGTTCTCTGTTCTGTTCCACTGGTCTATATGCCTGTTCTTGTGCCAGTACCAGGTTGTTTTGATTACAGTGGCTTTGTAGTATAACCTGAAATCTGGTAATGTGATCCCTCCAACTTTGTTCTTCTTTTTCAAGATTCCTGTGGCTATTTGAGGTTTTTTTTTGGTTCCATATGTACTTTTGAAGTATTTGTTCTGGTTCTGTGAAGTATGTCGTTGGTATTTTGATGGGGATTTCATTGAATCTATAGATTGCTTTGGGTAGTATGGACATTTTAATGATGTTAATTTTTCCAATCCATGAACAAGGTGTGTGCTTCCACTTTTTTATATCTTCCTCTATTTCTTTTTTCCATGTCCTGTAGTTTTCTGTGAATAGGTCCTTTATTTCTTTGGTTAAGTTTATTCCTAGGTATCTTAATTTTTTTGCCGCGATGGTAAATGGGATTGTTTTTTTGTTTCTCTTTCTGTGAGTTCATCATTGGTGTATAAGAATGCCATCGATTTCTTGACTTTAATTTTGTATCCTGCTACTTTGCCAAATTCATTTATTAAGTCTAGTAAATTTTTGATGGGGTCTTTGGGGTTTTCTACGTATAGTATCATGTCATCTGCGAATCATGACAGTTTCACTTTCTCCTTTTCAATTTGGATCCCTTTTATTTTTTCTTCCTGTCTGATTGCTGTGGCTAAGACTTCCAGGATTATGTTAAATAAGAGTGGCAAAAGTGGGCATCCCTGTCTTGTTCCTGTTCTTAAGGGAAATGTTTTTAGTTTTTGCCCATTGAGTATGATGTTGGCTGTAGGTTTTTTCATATATGGCCTTTATTATGTCGAGATATGATCCCTCTAGTCCCACACTGCTGAGCGTGTTTATCAGAAATGAATGCTGGATTTTGTCGAATGCCTTTTCAGCATCTATTGATATGATCATGTGGTTTTTATTCTTCATTTTGTTTATGTGGTGTATCACATTTATCGATTTGCGAATATTGTACCAGCCTTGCATCCCTGGGATGAATCCCACTTGTTCATGGTGAATAATTTTTTTGATGTATTGCTGGATCCGATTTGATAGTATTTTGTTCAGGATTTTGGTGTCTATGTTCATCAGGGATATTGGCCTGTAGTTTTCTTTCTTTATAATGTCGTTCTCTGGTTTAGAATTAGAATTATGCTGGCATCATAAAACGAGATTGGAAGTCTTTTTTCTTCTTGAATTTTCTGAAATAGTTTGAGGAGAATGGGTGTTAGTTCTTTGACTGTTTGGTGAAACTCTCCCATGAAGCCATCCGGACCTGGGCTTTTGTTTGCTGGGAGAGTCTTGATTACATCTTCAATTTCCTTAGTTGTTATTGGTCTGTTCAAGTTTTCTATCTCTTCCTGATCCAGTTTTGGGAGACTGTGTGTTTCTAGAAATTTGTCCATTTTGCTTAGATTGTCGAATTTGTTGCCATATAGTTGTTCATAGTAGTTGTTAACGATCTTTTGTATTTCTGTGGTGTCAGTTGTTACTTCTCCTCTTTCATTTCTGATTTTGTGTATTTGGGTTCTCTCTCTTTGTTTCTTGGTGAGTGTAGCTAAGGGTCCATCAGTCTTGTTTATCTTTTCGAAAAACCATATGCACTTATTATTTAGGGTCGCCCATTTGGTTCCTGGTGTGATGGTGGCTGAGCTGAGAGTCAGCCCCCTCACGGTTTTGGTACCTGGGTGAAAACACTCATAGCTGGGGCACTTGGAGCACTGTACCCCTCTCTATCTCTGTGGTCTCCCAGCACGGCAGCTTCTGGGAAATTATACTTCTTCCATCGTGGCCCAGAGCTTCAAAGTGAGATTCCTGAGAGCTGCATAGAGGCTGTATTGCTTTCATACCCTTGTCTCACCAGTCGGTGGTGTCACTTCTGCTGCAGTCTGTTGGTTGAGATAATCACAAGACCTGCCCAGGTTCAAGAGGAGGGGACACAGACTTCACTGATTTTTTTGTTTGTTTACCCCCCCCCCCCCATTTATCTTCATATAGAGTGGTAGGGGGAGGGAGAGAGAGAGAGTGATAGACATTGATTTGAGAGAGACACATTGATTGGTTGCTTCCCACATGACCCCAACTAGGGCGGGGACCGAACTGCAACCAAGGTACGTTCCCTTGACCAAAATCGAACCCATGACTCTTCGGTCTGTGGGCCAACACTCTATCTGCAGAGCCAACCAGCCAGGGCTGTTTGTTTAAATTTTTAAAAAATTGGTTTGAGAGGAAGAGAGACATCAGTTAGTTACCTCCTGTGTACACCCTTGCCGCCCTGACCAGGGATCAAACCCGTAACCTGGATATGTGCCCTGAACTGGAATTGAACCCGTGACCTTTTGGTGTATGGGACAATGCTCCAACCATTGAACCAGGGCCAGACTCCACTTCTTGATGATAGGAATATAAAAGAATTTTCAGACAGATATTTTTTTTTTCCTCACCTGAAGATATATTTTATCAATTTTTAGAGAGAGAGAGAGAAACATTGATCGGTTGGCTCTTATATGCACCCTGATGGGAGAACCCCAACCTAGATGTGTGTCGTAACTGGGAATTGAACCACAACCTTTTTGGTGTACAGAAAGATGCTCCAATAACTTAGCCACTGGCCAGGGCCAGACAGGTTTCTATTTATTGATTTATTTTTATTCCTCACCTGAGGATATTTTTCTACTTAGGTAGAGTGGAAGGGAGGGAGAGACAGAAAGAAACATCAATGTGATAGTGTCACATCGACTGGTTGCCTCCTGCCCAACCCCACCAGGGCCGGGGACGAACTGTAACCAAGCTATGTGCCCTTGACTGGAATCGAACCTGTGACTCATTGGTCCGAGGGCCGACACTAACTGCTGAGCTAAACTGGCCAGGGCCAGACAGGTTTTTAAAACGACCACTGAATAAACTTTGTTTCATGTGCATCATCATAGGTTGTTTTTACTGGATGCTGTCAAGGTGCTTAGGCAGGAGAAGTAAAACAGCATAGTCTAGGAGATACAGCTTTGGACCAGAAGGATGGATTCTTGACTCCTGCCTCTGCATCTCAAGTGTGGAGCTAAAGCTCGCCCTGCGAAATCATTTTGGGAACATGTTTGAGGTAATGGAAAAGCGTTTTTTTCCAATACCAAGGATGATGTTAGTCAAGGGCCCAAAACCATGATGTTGAAATTTGTTTCTGTTCTTTGTTTCGGTTTATTTACTTACTTATTTATTTTATTTTATTTATTATTATTTTTTAAATCTTTATTGTTGAATGTAAAATGTATTATAGATGTTCCACATTTTTCCCCCACTGACCCCCTCCTCCCCACTCCCGCCCCCTCCCGCCTTTTCCCACACTATTGTCTGTGTCCATTGGTTATGCATATAAGTTCTTTGGTTTATTTCTTCCCACTCCCCCAAGCCCTTTCCCTTTGAGGTTTGTCAGTCTAGCAATGAATTTGTACTTCTTAATCCCTTCACCTTTTTCACCCATTCCCCCAACCCCCCTCCCATCTGGCAACCAACAAAATGTTCTCTATCTATGAGAATGTTTCTGTTCTGCCTGTTCATTTCGTTTGTAGATTCCATTGTCGATAGATACGTATTCATTGCCATTTTGTTTGTTCATATATTTTATCTTTTTCTTCAAAAAGACCCTTCATCATTTCATATAATAACGGTTTGGTGGTGATGAACTCCTTTAACATTTTCTTGTCTGGGAAAGTCTTTCTATGGCCATCGATTCTAAATGACAGCTTTGCAGGATAGCGTAATCTTGGTTGTAGGTTCTTGCTTTTCATCACTCTGAATATTTCTTGCCACTCCCTTCTGGCCTGCAAAGTTTCTTTTGAGAAATCAGCTGACAGCCTTATGGGAACTCCCTTGTAGGTAACTAGTTGCCTTTCTCTTGCTGCTTTTAAGATTCTCTCTTTGTCTTGAACCTTTTGCATTTTGATGATGATGTGTCTTGGTGGGCCTCTTGGGGTTCATCTTGTTTGGGATTCTCTGTGCTTCCTGGACTTGTATGTCTGTTTCCTTCACCAAGTTAGGGAAGTTTTCTGCCATTATTGTTTCAAACAGGTTTTCGATTTCTTATTCTTGCTCTTCTCCTTCTGGCACCCCCAAGATGCGAATGTTGGCACGCTTGAAGTTGTCCCAGAGGCTCCTTATACTATCCTCATTTTTTTGGATTCTTTTTTCTTTTTGCTGTTCTGATTGGGGGTTTTTTGCTTCCTTATATTCCAAATCGATGGTTTGCTTCTTGGATTTACGTACTCTACTATTGAATCTGTGTGAATTATTCTTTATTTCAGTTAATGCCTCCTTCAATTCTGACTGTGCATCCATAATTTCTGACTGGTCCTTTTTTATGCTCTTGAGGCCCTCACTAAGTTCATTGAGCATTCTTATAAGCAGTATTTTGAACTCAGCATCTGTTAGGTTGCTTATCTCCATTTCACTTAGTTCTTTTCTTGGGGTTTTGTTCTGTTCTTTCATTTGGGACCTGTTTCTTTGTCTCCTCATTTTGGCTACCTCCCTGTGTTTGTTTCTGTGTATTACTTAATGAGAGGTATGGGGCCAGCTGAGACAGGATGCTGCTTGTTTGAAAGAATTTAGGAAAACCTGAAGCAGGATCGAAGACAGGCCGATCCTATGGTTAAGCAACTGGCAACAGCTTGGGTAGGCCTGAAAGTTGGGCGGGGCGGGGCCTCAGGGAGTCAGCAGGGCGGGGCTACCAGTGTGAGCCAGGTTGCTGGAGTCCCAGATATGGTGGCTGTCTGCTGCCCCAGGGAAGGGCTCACCAAAGGAACGAAGGCCTCTGACAGCACGTTTGTCCCCAAGAAAGCCCCCTCTCCAGCCCTCGCTCCAGTGCCAAACAGCTCAGTTCTTCCCTCTATGTCTCTGGTGCCCCTCGAGCTGCCTCCCCTCCAAGCTTAGAGGGAGAGTCCGATAAGTCCGTGCGCGGCCCCTTTAAGGAGCTGCCTGGGGCTCCAGCCGCCTCAGCCTCCCTGAGCCTCAGTTCCCGCTGGTTTTCCAGCTAGAAGTTATGGGGTCTCTCTTCCTGGCACTGGAACCCTGAGCGGGGCACCTGGTGTGGGACGGGGACCCCTCAGTCCTCAGGGAGGACCTTCCCAGCCGAGGTGTCCTCCTGATTTTTATCCGCCACACGTGGGTGTGGGACCAGCCCGTCCCCTCTGCCCTCCTACCCATCTCCATGCAGCTGCTGCTGTAATTCCGTAGCTGTAGGACTTCCATTCAGCTCGGTGTCAGGCGGCTCTGAATGATGGTTGTTCAGTAGTTTAGTGGTAACTTTGATGTGGTTGTGGGAGGACGGATACCGCGTTTACCTACCCGCCATCCTGACCGGAAGTCCCAGTTATTTATTTTTAAAGCAACAGAGCCCTTTCCTTTTTTTAAAAAAATTTAATCCTCACCCAAGGACATTTTTTCATATTTGTTCAGATAGAGTGGGAGGGAGAGGAAGAGGGAGAGAGAGGGAATCATTGACACGAAAGGGACACATCAAGTGGCTGCCTCCCGCAGGACCCCAACCAGGGCTGGGGGCAAATTGCAACCGAGGTATGTGCCCTTGACCAGAATTGAATCCGTGCCTCATCGGTCCATGGGCTGACACTCTCACCACTGAGCCAAACCGGCCAGGGCCAGAGCCCTTGTCTTCAGTGACATCTTGTCAATGTGTAAAATGCAGGAGAGTCACAGGAAGCCTGGAGCGCCCCTTTGTGGCCTCTTCTACTGAAACAGACCCATAGGACTCCATGGGTCCCAGGCGAAAACCACTGAACAAATGACCTGATTAGGTCTTTATTTGAGGAGTAAACATTGATTCCATAATAAAAAAATTTATCCAGAAAGGTCTTAGAAATTACGTTTTTGTCCTGTTTAATTGTCTGGCTCTTGTGTATTGAAGTTTCTTCCTGAAGGAACAGTTGTTCTATTTTATGTTAAATTCGTGCAGCTCAGTTTGCAGATTTTTCTTTGCATTATAGGCTAACATTTTGTAGCATTTGAAAATTTCTTCAGAATCTACCAGATATTTTAAATAGTTTGTAACATCCACTGTAGCTCAAATAGAATACCAAACATTTTAAAACAAAAATTGAGTGGATAGTTATTTAAAAGGAGTACTATTATATCCTTACAAGAGTAAAAATACTGTGTTCTTATTTGTTACTAAGTAAGGCAGAGGCATAGATCTAGTAATTTGGGAATCTGCCTGCTGTTTCCATTATGGGATCTGTTTAATCTCTCTGATTCTTTGGATAGAAAAAGGAAGTCATTGTTATTTTAGCATGATAGGAGATTGATGGGAAACTTTCCCCTTGCCTTATTAAATCATCAAGGTGGGATGCCAGGATAAAGCAGAGTGGGAGTACCCAAACTTCAGGGTCCTGGAGCAGGGGGGGGGGGGGCGCAGAGTTGCACGTGGTCTGTTTCTCCTCGCATTCAGGCATTGTGCTGCGCACAGCTGGGACAGACTGGTGCGTGTGCCCCTGGGATGGTCTCCGCCAGCTTCTGTGTCTGACCTAGACCTAGACGCACTGAAGCTATCACGTCCTAGTCTAGTGTTCTGTAGCTAACTGATACTTTAAAACTGATGTGTCTTGTTTAATCTTGATCCAACAGGATTTGTTTTCTTCTCAAAATGTGAGTAAGTCAAAAGATGCATCTCTCCTGCCTAGCAAACTCCCCACGTCAGTCTCGCTTTTTGATGATGAAGATGAAGAGGTAAACACTGGTATTGTAACACAAGATACTCAACTTTTTGATTAGTAGGAAACTGTTGCTGATGTAGCTTTATATCCAGGGGTTCAATCAGTAGGACAGGGTGACAAGGAAGCAGTCAAGCCGTCTGGGTGAGGCCTATATAACAAAAATATTTTGGTTTTTATCTCAGCAACTCCTTTCTTAAGTTCTCTTAGCTATACAATGGGCAGGACATTTGCTTCTTGACCCAGCTCTTATGGAAGGCTTCGTAGATTTCACTTAAGAAATCTGCCTTTAAGAAATACTTTTTAGAGCATGGATCTGTGTTATACCCACTGGTCTACAAGATTGAAGGGGGAGAAAGAGGAGAAGGCAGCCATGTCCTCACCTTGCTATTCTTTCCCACCCTTGAAGAGATCAAAGTTGGGGAGAGAAGTAAGAGGGGAGATAAGTGAACCTTCATTCGTGCCCAGTTCTGTGTGGTGACTAAGCTCCTGGGGTTGGGTGTTCATGTCCTAGCTCCACCACTTGCAAGTCAGGGACCTTGGGCAAGTAACTTAAGCTTTCTGAATCTCATGGCTTAATAGTCAGTGGGGTCATTGTGACAGCTGAAACAACTCATGTGCAGCCTTTGGCACAGAGCCTGGCACAGTAAGTACATAGTAAATGTGTGTCCCTCTGGATATCAGTTCATGATGCCCATGGCCCTGCCTGCCTTCCTACACTCTCTCTGAAGCTCCCTTTATCGATCTTTACATTTTGGGACAGTTTACTTGCTGTAGTACTGTTTTTTTTTTTTCTGTTTAACTCTGGCTCAGGCTCTCTGATGGTTTTGCTATTCTTTTCTAAATAAATATGCCTTCATAGGCATCTCTGGAGAGCTTGATGATACAAAAATTTATAAACATCTTTGAACCAATAAGGATCAACTCTTAGTGGGTCAGTGATTTTTATTTAGTAAATTATTATTTTTTGTTTTGTTAATCCTTACCTGAGGATATTTTCCCATTGATTTTTAGAGAGAGTGTGGAAGGGAGAGATGGGAAGGGAGAGAGAGAGACACACACATTGATGAGCTGCCTCCCACATGTACCTTGACTGGCCCAGGGATCAAACCAATGACCCTTTGGTGCGTGGGCCAACACTAACCACTGTGATACACCACCAGCCAGGGCTAGTAAACTGTTTCTTAATTTTGTATTGTCTCTTTAAAATTAACCAGAAATTCGCCCAGCTAGTGTGGCTCAGTAGATGAGCATCGACCCATGCACCAAGAGGTTGTGTGTTTGATTCCTGGTCAGGATACATGCCCAGGTTGTGGGCCAGATCCCCAGTTGGGGCCATGCAGCAGGCAGCCAGTCGATGTTCTCTCTTATCAGTGTTTCTATCTCTCTCTCCCTCTCCCTTCCTCTCTCTCTAAAAATCAATAAAGAAAAGAAAATTAAGAAAAAAAAAAAATTAACCAGAAATCCAAGTCATTCCTTCCTTTTGTCCCAAGTGTGTGTCCTTCATAAGTGTAAAAGAGTGGAGAAAGCTCCATCTCTCTGCTTTTACCCATGGCTCCAGTTTGTAATTCACAGAAAGAAAGGTGCAGATTGCTGGCCGCTGCGGGTGCTGTCCTGTTCTCCTGCAGGTGCGGGCATGGCCTTCCTAATAAGACAGAGGGCCTGCCTGCTGGCTGCGGCCGTGTTTCCTCCCTGTCCCGGGACCTTGTCCTCACGTCACTCCCTCTCATTCTTCCTCCCATGTGTTCGCCTAAGAGTTGTGTGGTATGTTTCCCTTTTGTGGCTGGAGACTGCAGTTAGAGACTATTATAGACTGTTGCTGTAGTTGTATATGTGAGAGAAGTGAGATTCACTAGCATTTTGTGATTTCCCCCCTAAAGGTGTTATATAAATTTTATTCCTGACATGAGAGAAGGATGTCTTAAGTTTTTTGTTTCACGTATATAAAGTTAAACTCTTCTGCCATTTGTTTTTCTAGGATATTCTTTTTGGGGCTACAGCTGCTAAGAAGCAAACATCATCTCTACTACCTCAGAACCAAGAGAAAGCAAAGCCCTCTGAGCCCCCCAGGAAGAAAGCATCTGCCTTGTTGTTCAGCAGCGATGAGGAGGTGGGTTGAAAAGAACGAGGCGTTGTTTCTAGGGTTTCGGAGATGTGGCTGTCCTAAACGTTTCCGCCTGTTTCATATCTAGTGAAGTTCAGTCACTAAAGACTATGTGCACGAGATAGCTTTCTTTTCTTGAAGAAAGATATTTAGTACATTAAACTAAAGGTTAGTCTTTTTAAAAATGGTTAGAAATAAAATAAGTATGACCCTCAAATTATATGCCAATTCAAATAAGTTAGGCCTTATTTTAATCTTATTACATGATCGCTGTGTTTCATTAATCAAGAACATGAATCTAGACATGGTAGGAATATCCTGTGCAAGTTTAATTCTTTTTTTTTTTTTTAATTAGCTTCTTAACATTTCCATTTACCATCTAGATACATATTAGCAAAGCCAGTAGTGAATATGGTTTAGCTGCTGTTCAGATTTAGCTGTACAGAAAAGAACTTTAAATATAATGCTGTTAAAAACCCTGAGCATTAAAAATCTTCCTGTATTCAAATAATTGTTCTTCTTTATTTTAACATAGGCAAGTAATGAGGGTATGACATAGATAGATAAATCCTAGATACGTTAATATTTTTATTGAAAACAATTTAAAATGACAGCATAATTTGCTTTTTTCTACTCAAATGTATGCATTTATGATGGATTTTTCCTTTTTTTTTGGTATTGTTCGTCGTTTTCACTGTAGTAATGGCCAGCCATCAATGGAATTTGTCTTACCATAGTGGTTCAGGGAAAATGAAAATATTAGCTAAAACTGGGAGCAACATTACTTGCAGAGTAACGGTAACCAGTGTTCTAGAATAGTGACTCAGCATTAGCTACCCACCAGAATCATCGGGAGAATCAGTGGTAGAATCATCTGGGTTCCACTGCTGGAGATTCTGATGAATTTACTGGTTTGGAGGTGTGGCCTGTCACTGGAATTTTCTAAAGCTCTTCTAGGGAGTCTAGCATGTAGTCGCTGCTCTGGAGGACCATGTCTCAGACCATAACGTGTGAGGAAATCCCCTGGGCATGTTGTTATGCGTTCAGGTTCTGATTCCGAAAGTCTGGGGGAACCTGAGATTCTAAGTAACAGATGCTACTGGCTTGTGGACCCCACTTTGATTTGCAAAGCTCTAGACTGTAGATATCAAAGGACCACTTAAACAAGTGCTCCTTGATTTGAAGGGTGAGTGTAGCCAGGTGAGGTTTCCTTAAAATGCTCTAAGTCCACATTGAGACTTTTGTGGAAAAGGGTCATTAGCAGCTTTCATTGTGTTGTGTTTACATGTGCATAGCATGAGCTTTTTTTGGTTAGTCCTCACCTGAGGATATTTTTCCACTGGTTTTTAGATAGACTAGAAGGGAGCGGGGGAGGGAAGGAGGGAGAGAGAGAAAGACAAAGAGAGAAAGAAACATCGATATGAGAGACACATCGTTTGCTTGCCTCCTGCTTGACCTCAACCAGGGCCTGGCTGGCGCCGAGCTGGGGCCAGGGATTGAACCTGCAACCCAGGTACATGCCCTTGACTGGGAATTGAACCTGTGACCCTTCGGTCCTTGGGCGGACTCTTGAACTGCTGAGCTAAACCGGCCAGGGCTTTGGGATTTTTCAATTAAAATATTTTCCTTTCATGTTGAAAGTTCTTGATTTATTTTTTAACATTCCTTTTCATCCTCCTCTTTAATTAATTTTGATTCACTAAAGTAGACAAGTTCCCTTCCCAACATAGAACAGAACCTTAGGGAGGAGAAACTTCATGGCAGGCAGTGGAGGAGAAGGCATGAGGTCTTTGAAGTCAGAGAACCCAGCTGTCTAGATTTGGGTTCAAAGAAAAGTCTTGGACGTGAGCTTTTCTCAGGGGTGATACACTTAGTGTAATACTTTGTTTAAACACAACTTAATTTAATGAATGTAAAATTTACTTCCTAAGTTCCTTATTCTACATTGCCACTGGATTTTAATACATATTTTATACTTCAAGGACCAGTGGACTGTTACTGATTCACAGACCAACTCAGCATCTGACCACAGGTCTAAAGGAGAACTTAAAGACTCTGGGACCACCCGGGACCAGGAGATTGTGAAAAAGACCAGCCTCTTTGAGGAAGACGATGAAGATGATCTATTTATTATTGCTAAGGACAGGTGAGAGACACTGTACGAAGTCATTTATCTGAGTCTGTGGTAACAAGTAAGGTATTTGATGTGCAGGTTGTCAGTTACTGGATGAGCTGGTAATCTTTCATTACCTAGTAGTCATACAAATGAGGGGTCTTTGGTTTTCACTTGCAAGGCATTGTTCCCCAATACTGGGAATTTTTTTTGATGGATCCTTACCTAATTTCTTCTACCTATCATTTTTTTTAACCTTAAAATACATTTTTCTTAATTTATTAGACATTTAAGTACAGTTTGTTGTCTTGTTTTTCCTCTGGGATATACAAAAAAATGCAAAACTTGGTCAGGGTTACTTAAGTTTGTCATTTGGATAGAAATCTGCTCAGCATTAAACAACATCCTGTTAGGAGCATGGTTCTCTGCAGAGCTGAGCAGCATCATACCCGTTGCTGGTACCCCTTAGCTGATCTAGGTGGTCCTTTACATTCATTCATACTCAGACTGAAACTGGCAGGATGTGTGGAGTGAGCATGGGCTGTTGCTGGTGGTGTAGCATGCTACCAGATAAGCTCTGCATTCAGAATAACTCCCCTGAAAATACTGTTTTTCTCTTGAGAGCCTTAAATGATCACTTTGAAATTCAGTTGAAAGGTAGTTGCATAAAGAGGCAATTGATTGGACTTTTTTTTTTTTTTTTTAATCCTCACCCCAGGAAATATTTTTGCATTTATCTTCAGATAGAGAGGGAGGGAGAGAGGGGGGAAGAGAGAGAGAGAAACATCAAGTGAGAGAGAGACATCGACTGGTTGCCACCCACACAACCCCAACCAGGGCCGGGGACAAACTGCAACCGAGGTACATGCCCTTAGCGGGAACCGAACCTGGGACTCTGGTTCGTGGGCCGATTCTCTAACTGCTGAGCCAAATTGGCTAGGGCAGACATTTTTTTTTCAATCCTCACTCAAAGATATTTTTCTGTTTATCTTCAGATAGAGTGGGGTAGGGTGGGGGGGAACATTGATGTGAGAGAGACACATTGACTGGCTGTCCCATAAGACCCTGACCAGAGCCAGGGACCGAACCACAACTGAGGTTCCTGCCCTTGACTGGAATCAAACCTGCGACTCTGGTCTGTGGGTGATGCTCTAACCACTGAGAAAACCAGCCAGGGCTGATTGGACATTTAAATCTTATGCATTGGTGTGGTTAATCCTTCATTTTGATTTGTTAGTTCCAAAAGTACCTCATATTTCTGCCTCTGAATATTGTGACTTCTTCCAGTGTCACTATTTCTAAGTTTGGCCTCCATGACTTCACTACTGGATGTATCTTTGGCCTCCAGTTAAGAATATAAGCTCTGGACTCCCAAGGCCTGATAATAAATTATGGCCCTGCTGTTCCTCTTTGAATAACCTTGGACAAGATGCCTAATCTCGCTGGGCCTGAGTTTCCTCATCATTAAACAAAAATAACAGTAGTACTTCTTTCATAGGATCACTGAGGATTAAATGAAATCCAAATGTGAATGTAGGAGAAATAACATTTTGTTCCTTTATTCTCCCTCTCTCTCTCAGGACACTCTTCTTCCTTTTTTATCTGGTTAGCTTCTTGAAAGACTGAGTTTAAGCCTTCCCTAACCACAACAGATGAGAGAGAGAAGAAATAAATAGAGTTGGAGTCCAGATTGGAAATGGCTTCATCTGTGTATGCTCTGCCTCTGTTGCACTTGAGTGTTTTCTACATTGTGTAGAAGTTTTCTTTTTCATTTGCACCCTCTCCTGTTGCCCCTACCACACACACACACTGCCACAAATTTAGAGATCTGGAAACATGTCTCATTTCTAGGGCCCAGTACTAGCTACACACAATTCCTGGCTTTTAGTAATGCTTTCTCTGTTCCAGACTCATTCCATCTCTAATTGGTCCAGAATTGTCTCTAAAATTTAGTGTATGGGCATTTTTCTTAAATAATTTAAAGCTTTCATCAGTTTCTCAAAAAAAGCTTTTATAGACCATGTAGGGGAGGATGTGGAAGGATTGGAACCCTCATCGTTTTTGTTAGCAGGAATGTAAAATGGTGCAGCCACTTTGGAAAGCAGTGTAACAGTTAAAAAGGTAAGCATGGCCCTGGCCAGTTTGGCTCAGCAGTTAGAGCATCGGCCCGCAAACAGACCCAGGTTTGGTTCCCACTAAGGGCACGTATCTCCATTGCAGTTTGTCCCTAGACCCAGTTGGGGTCGTGTGGGTGGCAGCCAGTCGTTGTGTCTCTCTCACATCAATGTTTCTCTCTCTCTCTCTCCCTCCCGCTCTATCTGAAGATAAATGCAAAAATGTCCTGGGGTGAGGATACAAAATAAATAAATAAATAATAAGTTAAGCATGGAGTTACCAGGACTTAATTTCACTCTGAAGTGTGTGCTTGAGAACTGAAAACATGTCCACACAAAAAGTTATGTATGAATTTTTCATATTAGCCAAAAATTTAAAGTAACCCAAAGGTTCATCAGCTGATTGAAAGGACAGACAGTATTCATACAGTGGACTCTTATTACTCAGCAATAAGAAGGAATAAAGAACTAATACATGCTACAATATGGATGGATGAACCTTGAAAATACTGTGTTAATTGAAGGAAGCCAGTCACAGAAGACACATGCATGATTCCATGTGTATATTATGTTCAGATGGATAAGTCCATAGAGACAGAAAGTGAATTAATATTTGTCTGGGTTGAGAGGAAAGGAGAATTGGGAGTTACCATTAACAGGTATGGAGTTTCATTTTGGGTTGATGGAAATATTATGAACTTAGGTTATGGTCATAGTTGCACAACTCTGAATATACTAAAAGCCAGTGTTTGTACCCAATAAAAGGGTACATTTTATGGTATGTAAATTATATCTCCAAACCATTAAAAAAAAAAAGATTTGTAACCATAACGAAGTTGTGAAATACTGCTTCATAATCAGGGCATTCAAATGCCTGGCTTGCCTGGACAGCCCAGTGTGAGCCTGTCATTCTTCATAGTCATTCATAAGTTTTCTTTTCATTCTCAAAAATATCCTGCTTTAGTCTATAAACTTTATGGTCATCATCACGTTTTCTGATATCTGTACTTCTGAAATAAATCAGAGTACTCACCCTAGCATTTATAATGAGGAATACTCGAGCTTCCTGAGCAGCATGTTTCTCCTCTGCAGACAGATCTCCACGAGGAGCTGAGTGTGGACTGAGGGCCAAGGTTAAGGACCAGCGCTGGTTTCCTGTTGTAGCTATGTCCAGAAAAAACTAGCTCCTCTACAGCTTACCTTCAGAATTTGTCATCAAATATATTTTTATGGGTTGGGTTTTTTATTTGTTTAGAAATTACTTCTTCAGAAGATCATACATAAGATTTTTTTCCTCCGATAGCTGTTTAATGAGATTTCTGGTAATTTGAGGCATCTGAAATAGTTCTTTTAAAAAAATATTTTGTGCTCTGGCCGGTTTGGTTCAGTGGTTAGAACGCCAGCCCACGGTCCAGAGAGACCTGGGTTCGGTTCCTGCTAAGGGCACGTACCTCGGTTGCAGTTTGTCCCCGCCCGGGTTGGGGTTGTGCGAGAGGCAGCCACTCGATGTGTCCCTTTCATGTCAATGTTTCTCTCTCTCTCTCTCTCTCTCTTCCTCTTTCTCCCTCCCATTCTATCTGAATAAAAATGGAAAAATGTCCTCGGGTGAGGATAAAAAATAATAAATAAATAAATACTTTGTGGTCATTTATCACCTTGTGGTTAAATATTTTGGTTATAATGTGTGTAAATTTATATTGGTATATATCCTTAAAGGCTTATCAGATACTACCTTATGCTGTCATTATGAATTGGGCCTTTGCTTTTATAACTTCAAGATATGGACTTAATTATAACTGTCCTTTAGTGTCTGTGTTCAGTGTAAGTGCACTTTCCCATTTGGCTAGTTGTATTTCCTAATCAGTGATCTGTAGGTTTTTGTTTAAAACATGTAGGCAGACATCAATATTAAACTAATGAATAAGCTACATAGATTATGCCTTGTTAATAATTAAACTGACAAAAAAAGATTGTGATGCATATACTTACTAGAGTGCATGCATTCTAATGTAAGAAGATGGATATGGCGAGCAATTTACTGAAATGACTTATTAGTATTATTTTTATTCAGCTAAAATTGAATTTAAAGTTCTCATTATTTGGTGATTATCTAGTATGCTAGTTGGATGGTTGCTTACTTAACACACAGTAAAAACTGGAACTTGACACTTTACTAATTAGAACACTTTTTATTCTGGACTCCCCATGTCCAGTGCTAAGCCTCCACTTTCATGTATCTTCTCCTTAAAAGGTCCCGCTCAGTGTCTGTTCTGGCAGAAATGTATCACTGCCTTCTCTGTAGAGGCCAGGCAGAGCCTAGGTGAGGAAGTAGGTGAAGACAGGCTGGAGCAGCGGTTCTCCGCCTTCCTGATGCCGCGGCCTGTAGGACATTCCTCCTGTGCTGACCCCCAACCATAAAATTATTTTTGTTGCTACTTCATAACAGTAACTTTGCTACTGTTATGAATTGTCATCAGAAATATGTGTTTTCCAGTGGTCTTAGGCGTCCCCTGTGAAAGGGTCGTTTGACCCCCAAAGGTTGAGATCCGCTAGGCTAGAGGAATGTGGTGAGGAGAGCGGTGGCTGAATTTTGGGTATGGTTGCCCAGTGTTGGGTACGAAAGGGGTGAATAGTGATGAGGATGAATAGTGACACAGAGGGCATGTAATGGGATGAGGTTTGGGCTTGAAGAGAGGGTATGGAAGGGCAGAAAGGTGCTTGGAAAGACAGGGTTAAATGGCCAGAGGGCACCAGGCCACGGGTCGCAGCCCAAAGCAAGCCCTGGCCCTGCCATATCTTGATAGCTGCCTTCCTGACCACTCTGGAAATAGGTGTCCTACTCTCTGATTCTCCGGGGCCGTAGGCGTGGCGAGAGAGAACGCTTCGTTTGTGAATGCTGCCAGTGTTGTTTGCCTAGGCAGTGCTAACGGCCACTACACGAGGGACTAGTAATTGAAAAAGGACTAGATAAGGAGGGCCCTGGGCTGTACACAGGGAAGAGGGACAGAGGCTGCTGATTAACAAACTGCAACTCCTTCAGAGACTTCTTGTTTGCTTTCAGCTGTGGAAGCGCAACAGCTGATTCAGGTGTTTTAGTGGTAGGTGGGTTTCTATAGGTGTGGCCCAGAAAGGATATTGTATCTTTTTTAAAATCACATTTGCCTTTTATTTGCCTTTTGTTTGTTTTTATAGCCAAAAGAAGACCCAGAGAGCATCACTTCTCTTTGAAGACGACGGGGACAGTGGAAGCTCTCTGTTCGGCTCTCCTCCCGCATCTGTTCCTCCTGCCGCAACGGTATTCTTAGCCTCTTAGGTTCAGGAGTTACCCTTTAGGTGATGTTGCTTCCATCGTGAAACTCCCCTGAATCAGTTCCCATGCCTGACCTTGGAGGCTGAGTCTAATGGAAAAACTCATTTGAATGGTGTTAGAAAGAGATCTCGTGGTTAGTGGCACATTACAGATGAAGTACACGTGCAGAGCCTGGAGGGAAGGATTCCCCATGCCACGCATCCCACTCAGTGCCAGGTGTGGGTCTCTGGAGCCGGGGGTGGGGGGGTGGGCACTGTTGTACTTCTAGAGGGACTGCCAGGAACTGTGCCAGCTGCATGGAGTTCTGCTCCTTAGCCCAGGGGAGTTAAGGCACGCATTCTCTCTTTTAGAAGCATGTTTGAAGTGCTGACACTCTGGTCCTGGTTTATATTAACAGCCAGTCATTAAAAAGGATGGAAATTCTGACATGCTACAACATGTATGAACCTTGAGGACATTATAATGAATGAAATAAACCAGTCACAAGAAGACAAATACTGTGTAATTCCACTTAACATGAGGTGCCTGGAATAGATTTATAGAAACAGGAAGTAGAATGGTGGTTTTGGGGGGCTAGGGATAGGGGGAAATGGGGAGTTGTTTAATGGGTACAGAGTTTCAGTTTTGTAAGATGAAAAAATTTTGAAGATTGGTTACATAACAATTTGCATATTTTTTTTTATATATATACATTTTTTATCCTCACCCGAGGACATTTTTGCATTTATCTTCAGATAGAGTGGGAGGGAGAGAGGGAAGAAGAGAGAAAGAGAAACATTGATGTGAGAGAGACACATCAACTGGCTGCCACCCACACAACCCCAACTGGGGCCGGGGACAAACTGCGCCCGAGGTACATGCCCTTAGCGGGAACCGAACCCAGGACTCTGGTCTGTGGGCTGATCTAACCACTGAGCCAAACAGGCCAGGGCAACGATTTACATATTTTTAACACTACTGAATGATACACATAGAAATGGTTAAAACGGTAAATTTTATGTTGTGTTTTTTACCGCAGTTAAAATTTTTTTTTAAAGTATTGTGATAGGAAAAAAACTTAAGGGTATTTAGACCATGAGATACTGACTAGCTCATGGTCTAAATACCCTTCCAGTGATTACATCTAAGTGGCATCACTGCCACAGTCACCTGAGCTAAAAAATGTTAGTTATGTCAAAAGGGAGGATTCAAGCATAAGAGGAAGGTGACATTGTGATCGTCTTTGTCCAGGGACCCTTGGCATACTGGAATCCTGCCTTTGGCCTGCCATTCCTCCCTTCCCAGAACATTCCCTAAATGAGTATGTGCACATAGAACAAAGTGAGGCCAAGCAGTATTTTATTGCCACCTGGCCGTTGCTGCCAAACACAGAGGGAAGTTTAGAACTCCTTAAGCTAGACCCCATGAAGAACACCTTCACCTGAGCTGGGTTAGCTTAAAGAGCCAAGAATCAAGCCGACTCGCAGCCTGCCTTGCGGGCCTTCAGCCCCAACCTCAGACCACTCAGTTTGGCCTGTTGTAGGCAGAAGGACATGCAAGGCAGGGAGGAAGAGAGGAGCCCCTGGCACTCCTCCCATGTGGGAGCAGCCATAGAATCCCAAATGGTAGCTCCCCCCCAGGCTCAAGGAAGAAGACCCTCTCCCTCCCACCACAGTGATGGGGGACTCGGTTCCTGATACCTGCACATTCCTAGGTGCACTGCTCCTCCTTGGGGTACAGTGGAGGAGGGACATAGCAGTAGGGAGCTGGAACTTCTGTGTTCTACAGCTTGATCCTTGGCTTTTCTTCCATACATCTGAAATACTTTTTGTTTAAAGTTTATTTTAAACTACACAGTAATACATGGATGCTTTCATTTAAAAAAAAAAAAAAAAAGGTTTTAAAAATGCACAGAGGACCCGGCTGGTGTGGCTCAGTGGTTGAGTGTCGACCCATGCACCAAGAGGTCGCTGGTTGACTCCCAGTCAGGGCACATGCCTGGGTTGTGGGCCCGATCTCCAGTGGGGGCTTGCAGGAGGTGGCCAATCGATGTTCTCTTTCAACAGTGCTTCTATCTTTCTCTCCCTGTCCCTTTCCCTCTCTGTAAAATCAATAAAGAAAAAAAAAGTACAAATCTATAAAAAAACATAAAATAAAATAAAAAATAAAAATGCAGGGAGGCTGCAAAGCCCCCATTCCATACTGCTCTCTAGATGTAATCATTGGTAACAATGTGTTGTCAGTCTCTTCAGGCCTGATTCTAAGCATGTACATCTTTTTTATTATTATTACTATTAAAATAAGAGCATGTTGTATATTTTCATGCATCTGTTTTTGTCCTGCAGCATATTTGTCATTTTGCTCTTTGCCATTATGATATAGTATTCCACAGTGTAGCTATACCAGGACCTGTGGGACTCTTTCTCCTGGATGGAATAATTATCACTGTTTTCTGCAAGTTTGTTAGGGAAGTTTCTTTCCCTCCCTACTGCCTTGTCATCTTTGTCCTTGACTATGGAGATAATTTCTTAATTGGCTTTTATCAATGTTCCTTCCTTTCATCTGCTCTCCTTGCTGTTGCCCTGGTTCTCTTCTTAAAGATAACTGATGCTATCATCCTCTTACTGTAATACCTCAGCCGAGCCTACCATGCCACCTGTAATCTCATTCAAACCGGATTTGTCTTCTCCAGCCTCACCCACCATCTATTCTACATGACTCACCCTGTCCCAGAATACTACAGAAGAGGATGTTGTTTCTTTAGTCTGAAAATAATTCTTCATGTTTTCAGACATAGCACAAATGTTAACGTGTCCTATAAAAGCTCCGCAGACTAGGCACATGCGAGTTAACAACTGAGGAACTCTTTCCTGACCACATTCCCATTGAGTGGGGCCGCCCAGCTTGGACCTGAAGCACGCAGCACTGGGGAGCATGCTGTCTTCCTGGGCTCTGGGGCTCGGCAGTGCTTCTGAGGGGCTCACAATCTTTTCCTTGAGTCACCTTTCCTGGCGTTTCCCTAAATAGGACATCTAGTGGCTCCACAGTTAAGGGTCAGGAGATCTGAGTGGTTTTTCTTTGTAGATTATAAATAATAACTTTTATTTGAGCTATAATCTAATGATTTTTGAAGGTTCTGGAAATGTAAAACTAAACCTATAGTATTAGGGTTATTAAATAGAACAAAGGGCAAGGATACACATTGTAAGTAGCTGAACAACCCATGGACAACTTTTAGATGCAGTATATAAAATATATTTTTTGTTTAGAAATCTTAGAATATTTTAAAGTAAGGTGAACTGACTTGTAAACCTATCAAGAAAATTGCCTGGCTGGTGTGGCTCAGTGGGTTGAGAGTTGTCCCATGGACTGAGAGGTCCCGGTTTGATTCCCTTTCAGGGCACGTGCCCGGGTTGTGCTGCTGCTTCAGAGCAGAGCCCAGGGAACCGCTTTCACGAAGTCGAGGCAGGAAAGAGGACATCTGAGCGTCAGGACTAAGTGTGTAGAAGCAGGGACTCTGGCACCTGAGCAGTGGAACTGCATGCTTCTTCATGCTTCACATGTCTCATTAGCATGTTAAATCTCCACCCAGGGGTGTGTTTTTTAGCATTTAAATGAAGGAGGGTACAGAAAGGACACTTTCTTGTTAGTGTGCATGGGTGAGCAAAGGGAACAAAATACAAGCTTACCAAGGAAATCTTGGAGACAGCAGTGTCCTTCAGTCCAGCTGCCGATTGGCTGTAAGGAAAAGGGAAAACGTGGGGCAGCTGATGGCTTTCTGCGTCCTGCCCGTTGGGCCTAGTGGGTAAGCCTGTCTGTCTTGCTCTCCCACCAGGACGCTTAGCCAGCTCCCTAGAGGACTGTGGTTTCAGCTTGTTCTGTGATAGCACACTTTTCTTTTTTTGTTTTTGGGTGTTAATCTAAAATTAAAAGGCCAAAGTAAGAGACAACACACATTTATTTGAGATCCAAAAGAATAGCTGTTCAGGAAGCACTGATTCAGGCAGAAACCCAAATAGCATTCTGATTTTCTGTTTAGGAGAACGGCAAGGGGTATTGATAAGGAAGGGAAGGGGACAGTTACAGGAATAGAAGGAAGGAGTTTCTATGGTGTTAATAAGTTAAGGAAGGAATTTGTATAGGTGCAGATAAGCTAAGGTAGTGATGCTAATTCTAAAGAATGTTGTTAATTTTCAGTCCTAGTTATAATCTCTGCTTTCTTGTTACCTTTGTAGATAGTGGGTTGGGATACAATTGCCTAGTACCTCCCCACCTCCCCAAGGTTTGAGGAGTAAGACATGCAAGGCAGCTGTACTCCATTTTCAAGTGGTTCTGTTGATATTCTTTTTCACGAGGATGTCATTTACTCATCTTTTGGTAGAAAAAAGAGACTGTCCCTGAGGTACCACCTTTGCTCTTCAGCGATGAAGAAGAGAAGGAGGCACAACTTGGAGTGAAACCTGTGGACAAGAAGGTCGAGGATGCCAAAGAGTTGTCAAGATTTGGGAGCACTCAAGTGGTCGAGGAGTCTGAAAAGGTGGACTTTTTTTTCTTATATATTCTGATACATTTGTCTTATGTTCTTGTAAAACACACACATGCACACACCCTTACATTTTCTACTACAGAAAATAAATGGCTCATTGGTGAGAAGTTTTGAAAACACTGAAAAGTATGAAGCAGGAAATCTCTGATCCCAGCGTTCAGGCAACCTTCATGCTGCACTTGGTTTCAGACTTCCCCAGACATGCGTGCACACGGGATGCGTGCACACGGGAGGTGCCTGCTTCCATTTTACGTTGTTGTGACTTTGTGCTGAGGTCCATTTTGTCTTTCTCTCTCCAGAGTGTTTCCACATCTCAGTCTTCATTCTGGTTTTCTCTCTGCATGTCTGCTCTTTCTGACTTTTCTGTCACCCCTGGTTTCTTCCAGTCCCCACCTGTACTTAAAATGACTGTCTTCAGATTTTAGTTTACTCTTTTTTTCATTTAGTTGATGTTGGCTGTGAATTAAAGTTAAATTGTTTTCCTTTTAAAACATTAGCTTTTATTTTTCTGGATGATCTGTCACTTCCTGCAGGAGAGGCCTGTGGATGAGGCTGCTGGCTGTGTCTGGAAATCCGCAACTGCAATCAGTCTCTGCACTTTTTCTTTTTTTCTACCTTTCCTTGTACTCTGTGTTCAGCTGCTTAGGGTTAGTTTCTCTTCTAGGGCCTATGTGCAGAGCATCGCATACTTTTCCTCCTGAGGCTCCTTGGGGCTCCATGGTACACACATTTCACTTGTACCTCATTGTTTAACACTCTCTTCCTGTAATTTCAGTGTGAATCTTTTCTGTGTTCCTGCAGTCCCAAGAACTCTAGTCACAGCCTGTTCCACACTTCACTCTAACTGCCTGTTATACTGTTGTCTCCCTCGCTTGAGTATAAGTTCCTTGAGTACTGGGGCCATGTTTGTTTTATTCAGTGTTACCTGAAGTATGTAGCATATTACCTTGCACATAGTAGTTGCCTTTAAAATTACACATTTCTTCAAATAAGCATATTTTTTCATAGTTTAACCACTCTGAAACTAGGATGCACTTCACAGCCAGTGGTATGTTTAACTGGGAATTCTTTTTTCTTTCTTGACAGTTCATACAGTAATACAGTTTCTTACATTCAGTGGTAACTTACCTGATATGTGGTACTTGTTGAATGAATAGAATAAATTCTTCATTTTAGGATTCTTCTAATTGCATACAATATAAGCCTTCTACAATGTAAATGTCTAATTTTGTCAGTTAGGTTTCTCCTTGAGACTTGTGTTTTAGGTAGATGTTAGGAAATACAAAATCCACTCACAATGATTGGTATTGGTGTTATCTCTGTGACTTAGATGTTATTTATAGCTCCGGAGCAACCTATGTGGATCAGAGTAATAGCTGACATATATCTCTTAGGAATGAGGGACTCTGATTTCATTTTATTTTTATTTATTTTTATACTTTTTCTTTTTTTTTAGTCCTCACCCGAGGACATTTTTAATTTTGTTCAGATAGAGTGGGAGGGAGAGAGAGAGAGAGAGAGAAACATCGACGTAAAAGGGACACATCGAGTGGTTGCCACCCACATGACCCAACCAGGGCCAGGGACAAACTGCAACCGAGGTACATACCCTTAGCAGGAACCGAACCCGGGTCTCTCCGGACCGCAGGCCGACACTCTAACCGCTGAGCCAAATTGGCCAGGGCTACTTTTTCTTTTTTTAAATTTATTTATTTTTGTTACAGATGTTTCTCCTTACTTCCGCCCCCCCCCCCCCCCCCACTGATTTCTCCTCCCCGGCCCTCCCCGCCCTGTCCCCATATAAGTTCTGTGGTTTATCTCTCCCTCACCACCCACTTTGCTGGGGATTGTCAGTCTGTGCCCCACTTCCACGTCTCTGGGACTACCCTATTCCTCAGACTGTTATGTTCATTATATTTCACATATAACTGAGATCATGTGTATTTGTCTTTTTCTGCTTGGTTTGTTTCACTTAGGATAATACTTTCCAGGTCCCTCCATGTCGTCCCAAAGGATAAGAGATCTTTCTTTCTTATAGCCGCATAGTACTCCATTGTATTTATGCACCACAGCTTTTTAATCCATTCGTCAACTGATGGACATTTGGGCTGTTGCCAGATCTTAGCTATTGTAAATAGTGCTGCTACGAACATGGGGGTACATATATTCTTTCTGATTGGTGTTTCAGGCTTCTTAAGGTATATTCCTAGAAGAGTGATCACTGGGTCAAATGGCAGTTCAATTTTTAATTTTTTGAGGTGACACCATATTGTTTTCCATAGTGGCTGCACCAGTCTGCATTCCCACCAGCAGTGCACTAGAGTCCCCTTTTCTCCACACCCTCGCCAACACTTGTTGTTTGATGATTTGTTGATGGTGGCCATTCTGACAGGTGTGAGGTGATACCTCATTGTTGTTTTAATTTGCATCTCTCTGATGATTAGCGATGTTGAGCATTTCTTCATATGTCTCTTAGCCATTTGTATGTCCTGTTTGGAGAGGTGTCTGTTTAGTTCCTCTGCCCAGTTTTTAATTGGATTCTTTGTCTTCCTTTTGTTGACTTGTATGAGCACTCTATATTGGAAATTAACCCCTTATCTGATATATCATTGGCAATGATGCTCTCCCATACAGTGGGTTTTCTTTCCATTTTGATGATTGTATCTTTTGCTGTGCAGAAGCTTTTGAGTTTGGTGTAGTCCCATGTGTTCATTTTCTCCTTTGTTTCTGTTGCCTTAGGTGATGTATCAGTGAAAATTCTGCTGTGTTATGATGTCTGAAATTTTGTTGCCTACATTTTCTTCTAGGATTTTTATGGATTCATGAGTCACATTTAAGTCTTTTATCCATTTTGAGTTTATTTTTGTGTATGGTGTAAGTTGATGGTCTAATTTCATTTTTTTGCATATAGCTGTACAATTTTCCCAACACCATTTATTAAAGAGGCTGACTTCACTCCACTGTATGTTCTTGCCACCTTTGTGAAATATTAATTGAGTATATTGCCTTGGGTCCATTTCTGGGTTTTCAGTTCTGTTCCACTGGTCTATATGCCTGTTCTTGTGCCAGTACCAGGCTGTTTTGATTACAGTGGCTTTGTAGTATAACCTAAAATCTGGTAATGTGATTCCTGCATCTTTGTTCTTCTTTTTCAAGATTGCTGTGGCTCTTCGAGGTCTTTTTTGGTTCCATATGTACTTTTGAAGTATTTGTTCTAGTTCTGTGACATATGTTGTTGGTATTTTGATGGAGATTGCATTGAATCTATAGATTTCTTTGGGTAGTATGAACATTTTAATGATGTTAATTCTTCCAATCCATGAACAAGGTATGTGCTTCCACTTTTTTATATCTTCCTTTATTTCATTTTTCAATGACCTGTAGTTTTCTGCGAATAGGTCGTTTATTACTTTGGTTAAGTTTATTCCTAGGTATCTTAATTTTTTTGCCGCGATGGTAAATGGGATTGTTTTTTTGTTTCTCTTTCTGTGAGTTCATCATTGGTGTATAAGAATGCCATCGATTTCTTGACATTAATTTTGTATCCTACTCCTTTGCCAAATTCATTTATTAAGTCTAGTAGATTTTTGATGGAGTCTTTAAGGTTTTCTATGTATAATATCATGTCATCTGCAAATAATGAGAGTTTCACTTTCTCTTTTCCAATTTGGATCCCTTTTATTTTTTCTTCCTGTCTGATTGCTATGGCTAAGACTTCCAGTACTATGTTAAATAAGAGTGGTGAAAGTGGGCATGCCTGTCTTGTTCCTGTTCTTAAGGGAAATGCTTTTAATTTTTGCCCATTGAGTATGATGTTGGCTGTAGGTTTTTCATATATGTCCTTTATTATATTGAGATATGATCCCTCTATTCCAAGATTGCTGAGTGTTTTTATCAGAAATGGATGCTGGATTTTGTTGAATGCTTTTTCAGCGTCTATTGATATGATCATATGATTTTTATCTTTCATTTTGTTTATGTGGTGTATCACATTTATCGATTTGCAAATATTGTACCAGCCTTGCATCCCTGGGATGAATCCCACTTAGTCATGGTGAATAAATTTTTTGATGTATTACTGTATTCGATTTGTTAGTATTTTGTTCAGGATTTTGGCATCTATGTTCATCAGGGATATTGGCCTGTAGTTTTCTTTCTTTGTAATGTCTTTTTCTGGTTTTGGAATTAGAATTATGCTGGCCTCATAAAACGAGTTTGGAAGTCTTCCTTCTTGAATTTTTTGAAATAGTTTGAGGACAATGGATATTAGTTCTTCTTTGAGTTCGGTAAAGTTTCCCCGTGAAGCCGTCTGGGCCTGGGCCTGGGCTTTTGTTTGCTGGAAGAGTCTTGATTACTTCTTCAATTTCTTCAGTTGTTATTGGTCTATTTAAGTTTTCTATTTTTTCCCTGTTCAGTTTTGGGAGACTTTGTGTTTCTAGAAATTTTTCCATTTCGCTTAGATTATCGAATTTGTTCCTGTATAATTGTTCATAATATTTGTTAACAATCCTTTGTATTTCTGTGGTGTCAGTTATTAGTTCTCTTTCATTTCTGATTCTGTGTATTTGGGTTCTCTCTCTTTGTTTCTTGGTGAGTCTAGCTAAAGTTCCATCAATCTTTTTTATCTTTTCCAAGAACCAACTCTTGGTTTCATTGATCCTTTGAATTGTTTTTTTGGACTCTATGTCATTTATTTCTGCTCTGATCTTTACTATTTCCTTCCTTCTACTTGCTCTGGGGTTTTCTTTTTGTTTGCTTTCCAGTTCTTTAAGTTGTGAGGTTAGAGAGTATTAGAAATTTTTCTTGCTTCTTGAGGTAGGCTTGTGGTGCTATCAACTTGCCTCTCAGAACTGCTTTTATTGCATCCCATATGTTTTGTGTTGTATGTTCATTTTCATTGGTTTCCAGGAAGTTTTTAATTTCTTTCTTTGATCACCATGGTAACCTATTCATTGTTCAATAACGTGCTATTTGGCCTCCATGTTTTCAAATGTCTTTGCATGTTCTTGTTGCAGTTGATTTCTAGTTGCATGCCATTGTCATCTGAGAAGATGCTTGATATTATTTCAATCTTCTTGAACTTGTAGAGACTTAGTTTGTGCTCTGACATGTGGTCTATCTTTGAGAATGTCCCATGCTCTTTATTTGACCTTCTATTTTGAATGATAGCCTTGCTGGATAGAGTAGTCTTGGATTCAGATCCTTGTTTTTCATGACCTTGATTACTTCATGCTACTCTCTTCTGGCCTGTAGTGTTTCTGTTGAGAAGTCAGCTGAGAGACTTACGGGATTTCCTTTGTAGGTAACCTGTTGCTTATCTCTTGCTGTTTCTGGGATTCTCTCTTTGTCTTTAATTTTTGGCATTTTGATTACTATGTGTCTTGGTGTGGGCCTGTTTGTGTTCTTCTTACTTGGGGCTCTCTGTGCTTCTTGAACATGAATGCCTTCTTCCTTCATCAAGTTAGGAAAGTTTCTGTCACTATTTCTTCAAATATATTCTGTAACCGTTGCCTATTTTCTCCCTCTTCGGGGACTCCTATGATGTGAATGGTATTACGTTTCCAGTTGTCCCACAGTTCTCTTAAGCAATCTTCCTGTTTTTTAATTGTTTTTTTCCTTTTGGTTTTCTGATTGGTTGATTTTTTCTACCCTGTCTTCTAATTCACTGATCCAATCCTAAACTTTCTCTACTCTACTGGTTAGTCCTTCCATTGTGTTCTTAATTTCTGCTATGTCATTCTTCATTTCCACTTGGTTGGTTTTCATTGTTTCAATATATTTACTCATGGTGCTGATGTCCTTACTCATGCTGTTGAGCTTCCTCAAGATCATGGCCTGAACTCTCCCTCTGATAATTTGCTTAGCTGCATTTCATTTATCTCATTTTTGATAGAGTTCTCTTGTTCTTTCATTTGTGATTTGTTTCTTTGTTTCACCATTTTGGCTATCACAGTGGGCTTTGACGTCTGCCAAATTTTTCCTGTGGGTGCTGGTGTTCTGTTGTTTGTGGCTCCCTCTACTTGGTTTGGATTAGCCCTGGTGGGCCCATGTTAAACACCACTGTCAAGTCTTACTTTCCTGGGTAGATTTGCAGACCAATCAAAATTTCAGTTATCCTCTGGCTTTTTGCTGGTGGCTAGTAGTCTCAGTTACTCAGTGCCTTGAAATGTAGCCTTGGTGTTCTGAGTAAGAGGATTTCCAGAGTGTGGGGTAGATGCTGGTTATTAATGAGCCTCAATTTGCATTTCTTTGCCTCACCTGGGAAAGGCTTAATGTCAGGGGGGCGGGGCGGGACGGACTGCTGCTTTTCCCCACAGCTCTGGGAAGGAGCACACTGGCCACCGTCCTGTGTGGCTGCAACTCGGCAAAAACTCTGAGTGCCCTGGTGTCCCCACAGAGTTCCAGCTCAGTCTGCCCTCTCTCTGGCGTAGCCCCCAGGTGAGTGGCTGTGGCTATTTTAGAGCTCTGTCCAGGCTGTCTTCACTGTGGAGCAGGCTTGGTCTTTATTCCCCAAGGGCGCTGCTCACAGCTAAGACTGCTGCTGTCCGTGTGCTCCCAGCCTGGTACCCTCTTGCGCCTCCGAAGATCCTACTAATTTCCCTGGTTATATGGTCCTGTCTTGCTGCTTTTCTGTTGCTTTTTTTCTGAAGATTTGTCTTTATTTTAATTGTAATTCCTGTTTGGTCCTGGGAGATTGTCTGCGTAGTTTCTATTCACTCCACCTCCATTTTCACATCCTCTACACCTATCTTGTGTGCAGCTGGGTTGTACAGGCCTTTCTGGTGCCCCCGCACACCCTGCAGGTCCCATGGGTAACTGGATCACATAGTCCCTTTGGGGACCCGGCTCTATGTTATGGGCTATATTATGGGCTGCTGGGTCACACAGGCCTCTTTGCTGCTTCAGCATCCTGCAGGTCCCACGGGTAACTGGATGGCACAGTCCCTGCTGGGTCGCACAGGCCTCTCTGGTGCCCCTGCACCCTGCAGTTCCCACGGGCGGGCAGCTGGATCGCACCAGTTCCTCTCAGGCTCTGGCTTCCCACTGCTTTTGTGGGCTACTGGACCCCACAGGCCTCTGTGGAGCCCCAGGACCTGCCGCTGGTGGCTGGGGAGTGCTGCTGTCCCATGGGGCCCAACTCCTACTCAGCCTTTGCTGTAGTTTTTGGGGATGGGTCTCAGCTGCTGGTCTGTGCTTCTGTTGCTGGGAATGGATGTCTGCTCCCCAGCCTCTGTTGCTGGGGGTATATCTGGACTCTGATTGTGCTGCTACTATGAGGAATGGTGCTGGGCTCTGGGCTGTCTGATGCTTCTGTGACTGGCACCTTGGGAGCTCTACTACTGTGTACTGCTCTGTGTTGACCTAGAGTGTCCACTGGTCCCATGGTGCCAGGTGCACTGGTGGGCTCAGGTGATTGGGCCCTAGCTGCTCCCACTGCCTCCTCCCAGAGAAGACCTGGGATCTTCCAAAATGGTGGGACCTCCCCACGGTGCAGGGAGAAACCCCCTGAAGGGCCGCTTACTGAGGTAGCTGGCTGCTCCCGTCCACAGCACAGGAACCTTCTGCTCCTGGTCTCTGCACTGCTCGGGTTTGGTCGTCCACCTTCACGTCCACTCACACTCTCTCACACACTCGCTCACTCTCACACTCACCCTCCCTTCGGTCCTGCCCGCCGCCATCAGGGACTCTGATTTTAAAATGATTGAAAAAAAAATATCTTTGGCTATATATTATCTGCACAAGACTGACCGTTGGAGCAGTCAATCAAGAATTGGCCTCTGTTTGATTACCTGGGAGTAGACGTGATGAGCTGTAGTTCCTGGAACATTCAGAGGTGGCAGTTGCTGGATTAATAAGGAGCTTGGAAGTCCCTATTATAGAATTTGTATTTCCAAGTGTTAACAAATTTTTTTCTTTATTATTTCCCTTTTCAGGAAGGGCCTTTGACTGTATCTACTCAGGAAGCAGTCAAGCATTCTGACTTATTTTCTTCATCATCCCAGTTGGACAAAGGAACCAAAAGTAGAACCAAAACTGTTCTTAGCTTATTTGATGAGGAAGAGGATAAAACAGAAGATCAATACAGCATTCAACCTCTAAAGAAAGAAGTGGGGAAGGTGAGCAAAAGCAACAAAGGCTCAAGTCTTTAGAAGGATAAAAGGATCTTATTTCGTGGTATCAGTTTTATCATGTGAGTTGCTGAAGAATTGAGGGTTCCAGATTCTCCACATCCTCACCAACACTTTTGCTATATTTTCTTCCAGTCTCTTACTATGGATGATTTTGTACTGTGATATATTTAAAAATAATTTTTTTCCTTTATTGGTTTTTAGAGATAAAGGAGGGGAGAGGGAGAGATAGAAACACCTATGAGAGAGAACATCTATTGTATGCCCCCCACTGGGGGTTGGGCACACAACCTGGGCATGTGCCCTGATGGGGTATCGAACCAGTGACCTCTTGGTGAACGGGTCAACGTTCAACCACTGAGCCATACCAGCCGGGCTGTACTGTGACTTTTTTAAGTTATGAAAAGTTTAGCCTTTGTATGTTATACTTGTTTTTATGTATAATCAATAGTAAGAATTAATTATTAATTTTTAATGTGACCCATTTTGTCATGAGTATTTTTTTTTTTTTTTTTTAAATTTGTGGATGTAACACTAAAGAAACAGGGAGAATGTTAGAATGTTAAGTCTGGGACATTGTAATGTCAAACCAAGTAATGTAAATAGTAATTTGGAAATGTCAGGTATCCTAGCAAACAAAAAGGCCTTGTTTGGAATCTGAAGGTAGTGGGCTAGAAGGTGGATGGGTATGGGGAAGGTTGGCTGGCTACACCTGGGCCAAGACTTTGGACTAAGATGCGGACAGGTTAGGGATACATGCTTGACTACTCTGTGTAGTTTCTGGTATTATGTCAGCTGCTGTCTCTTCTTCCCTTTGGGAATGAGATGGAGAGAACTTGTTTAACTTTTGTGTTTTCACCCCTAAAATTTTTCTCATTATGGAACTAATAGATTGGTTTTTTTAATTAAGAAGTTCAGCCCTGGCCAGTTTGGCTCAGCGGTTAGGGCGCCGGCCTGCGGTCCGGAGAGACCCGGGTTCGGTTCCCGCTAAGGGCACGTACTTCGGTTGCAGTTTGTCCCTGGCCCTGGTTGGTCATGCGGGTGGCAGCCACTCGATGTGTCCCTTCACGTCGATCTTTCTCTCTCTCTCTCTCTCCCTTCCTTTCTCTCCCTCCCACTCTATCTGTACAAAAAATGGAAAAATATCCTTGGGTGAGGATAAAAAAATGAAATAAAATAAAAAAGAAGTTCAGATACTACAGAAAGGTTGAAAGATGATCTTTCTAGATTATGTATATGTTATCTGTATTTATATATTCTCAACTCCTTTTTGGCAGCTGCATAGTATTCCATTATGTGAACTGTCATTCCCTTTCTGTTTGGCACTTAGATGGTGTCCAGCCTTTCTTTAGCTATTGTAAACAAAGCCATAGGAGGTATCTTTGTTGCTTCATTTTTGTCATTGTGTTTGATTTTCTTGAGATGAATCCTTAAAAGTTTAAACACATATAAACTGCCCTCTTTTTCCCAGAATTCCAATCCTGATGCCCGTCCCAAGAGCACAGGTGTCTTTCAGGATGAAGAGCTTCTTTTTAGTCACAAGCTCCAGAAGGACAATGACCCTGATGTTGATCTTTTCTCTGGCACCAATAATACCAAGGTCAGTTCCAAGTGGTTCGCCACTTCATGGCTTTGTTATTGTATTAGATACTATTTCAGCAACTCACCTAGTTCTCTTTGTAAGTTGTTTTGGTTTTGGATATTGAATTTGTGTTATGTCTGTTCTAGTTGTTAGAGCCGAGTGTTGGGAGCCTTTTTGGGGATGATGAAGATGATGACCTTTTCAGTTCTGCCAAGTCCCAGCCTTTGGTACCAGCCTTTTGTTCTCAATGGGGGGGGGGGGGGGGGGCTGGCTTCTGGGAAAAGAAATTAATGTCTAGGTACATGGTTAAAAAATACTCAGGATTGCGGGGCTTCCTAGTAAATGAATGGTGAATGAGCTCATGAGAGTGTTTGTGTTGTCTCCACCTCATGGTCCCTAGCTAACATTAAAACATTCACTAACCCATGCTCTTCGTTACAAATTTGTTTGATTTTTAAGTTTATTGAAAGGTCATACAATACAGTTACTAAATAGTCATACTTCTCAGGTGCAAAGCTTTAAATCTGAGTGTTAGCCTGTATGTGTCATTTCCCCTGTCCCAGTAGACACTGTAAGTACTCTGTTTTCCTCTTACCACAGAGAGGGTTCCCAAGGAAGTCACGGTCTTTAGAATGTTGTTTCTGAAATGCTGCCTTTGAGTTCAGCCTTCTTTTGAGAAATGACTTTAAAATTCGGAACCCAGATTCTTTTACTGCATTATGACTTTTCTTTAAATGTCTAAGATACTTGACAGACTTCTGGTATTCTTTTTCATTTGAAGGTATCAGAAAAGAAGAGGGTAGTGAAAAAAGACCACTCTGTTTGCTCTTTTAAGAACCAGAAACATCCTGAATCCACTCAAGGTATCAAAGAAAAAAGCACGTGGAAACTGGAAACCCCTCAGGTTAGAACTGGTCTCTAAGCATTTTGAACTTGTTTGCATCCCAGTACAGATTAACTCTATCATACCGACCCAAGCCCATACAGAGTTCTCTTAAGTAAGGAGGAAATAGCACCTAGGACTACCTCTCTTTTGTTACTATATATTTTTCGTCCTTGCTCATCTCTCTTCTTGTTCCATAGTACAGGCCCATGTACCTATATTTATCATTATCATTTTTGCAATACCTCTAAATTCTAGTCCAAGATAGAGTAAGGTGGGGTGAAGACTCTTTTCCCCACTATAACCCCCATCTGTCCCTTTGGGCTATCTTGGAGTGGAATTAGATTTGACTAAAATATATGTTGCATCCAATTTCTTGGTCCTCCTCATGTTACCTCTTCTGAGGTCATTTCTATGAGGTCTCTGTCCTCAGCAGTGTTCTGTGTAGAGGGCCTCCAAAGAAGAGGCCAGGACTGGAGGGACAGTTTACTTCTGGCTCACCGCTGTCCCTGGATGTCTCACTGAGGCTGCAGTGTCCTGAGCCGTGAAGCAAAGCATGGGACTAGCACGTCTCCAGTGACTCATCCCACGTCTCAGTTTCTTTCACTCTTAGAACTGGGCATTAGGCCGTGGGTAAATTTCTGTGTGCTTTGTAGTATTTGCTGTGTGGGATAGCTAGCATGGTAATTTTGCCAACTGGTCAGGTTTTGATGCTCTGGTGCCCTAGTTCTCATGAGTCATACCACGAGCTCTGTCTCCCTTATTCCATGCAGAGTCTGACAGACTCCCACGCGCATCCTGGGTGCGGAGGCACAAGGGAAGGAATGTTAGTGGGTATGCGAGGCCTCAGGACAGGTTTGAGTGCCTTTCATGGGAGAGTTACGGAGAGGGGCAGCTTAGCTCCAGCACAGGTTACTTTAAAGGTGTAAATGGAATCCAAGAGACTCTATTTTTTCTATTTCCCCGATGGATTTTTAACTGAATGTAATTTCACACAGGATGCACCAGGTCCCGCTCCATTTAAAACCAAAGAGCCATCCTCTCGGATCTGGAAAATACAAGTAATTATAATTGTCTGGAATCTTCATCACCTGCCCTGTGGCATCTGTACACTTTTTTTGGATATTTACTTTTGTCAGCTGCTGCCAGGTGTTTTCTCATCTCTTCCCCACCCTCCAGTTGTTGCTTCTTGTGTGCTGCATCTATAACAGCTTTTCTTTAGCCCTGTGGTGGGCACAGGTGTACAGCCCTCTGTAATTCTAAGACTTGATGAGGAGACTTACCTGTGTTTCTCCTCTTGTATTATTCATTATGTACACTGAGTCTTTCACCATGTGTCACAGTAATAGTAATAGACTGCTATGTTTAAGAAAGTATACCAGTAAGTTTTATTTTTTTTCTTTAGGCAAATTTAGCTATTAACCCAGCAACCTTGCTGCCTGCAGCGGCTCCCCAGATCTTGGGGACGAATCCTGTTTTGCCAGAATTGGCTTTTCCTTCGTCTGAGCCTGGAAGAATCCAGAGTCTGGAAAGTATACCTACTCTTCCTGGCCGTGGAGAGGCCGGCGTGAGTTTTGATCTTCCAGCTCAGGCCGACACCTTACACAGTGCAAACAAGGTGAGGAGGCCACCTTTGCTTGCTTGCTTTTTCCTTAGCCAGAGCAACTTGAATGTTTCTTTCTAGTTCATCAGTTAACATAATAGGCCAGCTTTCTATCTGAAAGAGGCACCTCACCCTTCCTTCATCCTCTGTGCCCTTCTTCCACCTCCCTAATTGTGTCTGCTTTTCTACTGCCTGCATTTGTTACATTACATTCTGCTCAGTAGCCACAGTGAAATCCCACCACCTCCTCTTGCATTGCTGCCAGGAGGTCTTCTAAACACAGAACAGACTGTGTCCCTCCTCTGCTGGTTCCTCACTGACAGAGAAGCTCCTTGGATTGGTATTAAAGCCTTTTCCAGTCTTTGCTAACTGGAGCCTCTGTTTCCCCACCACTCACCCCACAGTGTCTGCCTAAACGTCAGTTCCTCCAGGCACCCTTCTTTGAACACACCCCTGACTGGCTGCTGCCATCAGCTGGGGCTGCATCCTTACTGACAGCCGTGCTCAGACTTCACTGCTTCTGTGATATTTCCCCTCTGGCCCCTTGTCCTGAGCTCCCTCCTGTGAGGTCCCAGCTAGTACGGGCCCGCCACATTGTGCCACAGGACTGTGGGCTCATGCTGGGTCGATTGTGAACTCTGAGGTTTTAATTTCATCTCGGTTGGTTCTCTCTTTTTCTTCCTTCTCTAGAAGGTCTTAGCTGATCTTTGAGTAAGCGACAGTACCAAGGATAACCCTGGCAGATAACCTCATCTCAGGTGTTTCCAAACCTGTTTTTCTTGTGAAAAATAAAACATCCTTCCTTTCGTTATGTTCTTTAGCTTTTATTTTGGTTAAGTTTAAATGGCTGCTTCTTCAAATTATTTGTTAAATTTCCTTGAAATAAGGCAAATACAGTCAAGTACTTTGCCCAGCATAGCTTATACCTTCTCAAAACTAAATGATTGTGTAGTTTGGAAAAAATCTGCATTATTACAATAACTGACTCATATTTGGAAGTTATATTAAGAGTTTGATTTCTAAGCCACAGTTTTTATGTGAAATATTTACCGTTTGAATTTATTGTCTGTTGGTTTGAAGAAAAGCGCACCTTAGATGGCCTCTTTTTCTTTATTGTCTGATATCTCCCTGCTCCTGCAGTGTGAGTTTAGGCTAGTCCCTAATAAAGGTCAGTAACAGAATTCCCCGTTTGTTCTTGTTTTGAAATATATCCACATTTAAGTTGAGGGCAGAGTAGGGACCAGGGAGGGTTATGGGACACAGAACAACAACATTTCTATTGCAGGTTACAGTGGCAGGTGAAGCCTTTTGTCAAATGTCTATTCTATTGAATAGCAATTGTCCTCAAAAGACTAAAAAATGGGGCACACTAAAGGATTAAAATGACTTAGTTTTGGAGTACTAGGAGCTCTTAAACTTCTTTGGAAACCTTAAGAAATAACCTGTTCTGTATCTTAGATAATATTTTGGTTGAGATAGATCAGATAACTTTGCAATATTTTGAGTTGCTAATTATTTGCTGTGTTAGCTTTGGGCATTTTTTAAAAATCATCAGATCAACATGTGGTCTTTTGTCCTTGCAGAGCCGGGTCAAAGTGAGAGGGAAGCGCAGGCCACAGACCCGTGCAGCTCGGCGGTTGGCTGCCCAGGAATCCAGCGAGGCTGAGGACATGAGTGTCCCCAGAGGATCCATTACACAATTGGCAGATGGTGCCATTTCCCCAGCCGACTATCAGCCCAGGACAGCTGGTGGAAAAGATAGCTCTGAGGAGGCCATGGCAGCTGCTACTTTAAGTTGGACAGGTGGTCTGGTACCTGGAGTGGACAGGAGCCCCTCTGGGAAATCTCTGGGTCAGCCTCTTGGGGGTGACCTTTTTGATTCTGGAGATATCTTTTCCAAAGACACTGAAGCTCAGCTCATGGGAAGAAACACTAAGGCAGAGTCAGCAGAGAGCCCAGCCAACGCTCCAGGGGGAAGTAAAGAAAAGAGCCCACTGTTTCCTGCTCTAGGTGAGGCAGAAAGTGATGACGATCTCTTTCGGTCTGTTAGACCAAAACCAGTAAAGGAAACGAATCCCTTCCCTCTCCTGGAAGGTGAAGATCGTCTCTTTCCAGATCAGAAAGGCAAGAAGAAGGAGTCAAAATCCAGTGGTCAGCAAGCTGCTATCTCAAAAGCACAAGATATTTTTGAGGTAATAGGATATAACAGTATGTTTTTGCGCCTGGTTCTATATGAAGAAATATACCAGTTGGCTCATTTGAGCCATAGATTACATTAGGCTGTTTGTTGCTACCCTCAGTGTCTACTTGCTTAGTAATTATAATTAGGTTCCCTTATTAATAACTCTGAAATTTACTTAAATAATTTTTTGTTTTGTTTCATATACATGGTAATAGCTGGCTGGCCATAACCATTGATATAGATCTTGATTTTTAGAGTGTTTATCAGAACGTTTCTTCAGTCAGCTTCCTTGGCATGCCGCTCTATGACATAAGTAAAGCAGTGTTGGTACACTTTGAGTGTTTAACCTCTGGTTCTTGGGAAAACTGGCCCCCTCTGTGAGCAGGGACTGGAAGGCCTTTAGTGGCACTCTCTGGGCAGGTGTTCATTGAGCGTCTGGGTACTGGAGGTACAAGGTGAACTAGGACCAGTGCTCTGCTCCTCAGCGCCCTCAGGGAGGGGAATTGGGTACAGACAGGGCAACATATAAATAAGATATTTTTAGATAATGTTACGTGTCATAAAGAAAGCAACCTAGGGCAGCGGGGCAGAGTGCCGGCTAAGGGTGAAGTGCTCCTTTTGATAGGACTGGTAGAGAAGGCTTCTCTACAGAGTTGGCACTTGAGCTGGGACTAGAAGAACGCGAAGGCCTGGGCCAGGCAGGTGTCTCACTGGAGGGCGGGTCACGTCACTGTTCCATAACACTGGCAGTTTCATTTTTGCAACTTGTTGAAATATATGTTTTTAGTAAAAATTTTTGGTTTAATACTGTTTTGCTTGTATTTTTTTTTTTTTTTACCTTAACAAGGATGATATATTTGCTACAGAAGCAGTTAAACCATCACAAAAAACAAGAGAGAAGGAAAGAACATTTGAACCCAACTTGTTTGATGATAACATTGATATCTTTGCTGACCTAACTGTAAAACCAAAAGAAAAGTCCAAAAAGAAAGTGGAAACTAAGTCTATATTTGATGATGATATGGGTGAGTTTGGTTTTCTCCACATGGCGTAGAGTGTATCACCATTCAGTAACTTGGTATTTCTCCTGCTACCTTTACTTTGGCCCTTACCTGGAAAATGTTCCCCAGGTTTCCCTTTGACTTGCTATAATATCCTGAGTTAGGCTGAGGATGGAAAAGCAAATGGACTAGTCATTTTGGTGAAATAGCTTTTTTGTGTGATGGACATCAAGGATTTGAAGGAGCCCAGAATTTGACCTTTAAGTATAATTTAACTTTTATCTTATGTGCCCCCTGCCAGTTGTCTGTGACAAATCTGAACACTCGGATGATAAGAAAGGAGAATCAGAACTACCCCACATTAGAGTTGACAGAGGTCGCTGCTTGAGCATGATGCGGTTGGTTGAGTCAGAGTTTTAGGTGGAGGGTGACCATCATGTTCAGAGAATGGAGGGGCAGTTCAGGAGAATAGGACTAAACAGGAAATCAGGTTATAACTCAGACTTTACATCGCACCAAAGATCTTCTATGTAAATATGCTCATTTTCACTCCATGGTGTAACATCTACTTCACTGATTAACCAGCCAGATGCTTCATAACCCTAACTGTAGGCCTTCTGGGATGACTTGTGGGTTGGTAGATAGGACTTGGGCTAAGGCCACATATACACTTTCTACTTCCTCCCCTCTCTCTCCCAGGTCGAAACCTTGGGGTTAATTGGTAGAGAGCTGGTGCTGTAGTGCCACACTGGGTCTCTTTCCCAAGCAAGCTGTGAGCTCTGTCTCCATCTGCTTCCCACCACGTGGTGTACAGAAGAGACTTTCTTTTATTCAGAAGTAATACATACCTGTGGTAATAGATGAATACTATTCAGAAAATGTAAAAAGTGAAAAACAAACCCTAGAGGTTAACCATTATTGAGAGTTAGGTTGTATTGGTATGCTGATATATTTTAGGTTTGTATACTTACTTTTTTCCAAAATAAGAATATACTTTACCTAATTTGCTGTTTCTTGTGGTCACTTAGATGTTTTCTTATATCAGTAGAAATGTGCTTCCCTGTTTTGTTTTTCTTAAATTTTTTAGAGAGAGAAGGAGGGAGAGGGAGAGAGATAGAAGCATCAATGAGAGAGAACATTGATTGGCTGCTTCCTGCATGCCCCATACTGGGGATTGGGCCCACAACCTGAGCAAGTGTCCTGACCGGGAATCCAACTGGCAACCTCTTGGTGCATGGGTTGATGCTCAACCACTGAGCCACACCGGCCAAGCTGCTTCCCTGTTTTTAGTGGTTGTGTAGTATTACTTTGTATTTAGCCACTAGCTATTGAAGGTGATCTAGATTGTTTCTCAGTTTTCTCTATTACAGATAATGCCATGGTATTTAACATGTGTGTGTACATGCTAAAATCTCTGTAGGACAGAATCCTAGCAATAATATTTCCGGGTTAGTAAAATTACTGAGTAAGATGAGTCAAACACTAGAGTCAGTGAAACACTATATATGATGTAGTCATAAAGTCTTAGGATTGATTGAGATGCCTCAAATAGATGTATTTTCTAAGAAAGGGTGACTTCTAAGTTGGGTTTCCTTTTGCTTACTTATTTATTATTTTTTTCCTTTATTGATTTTAGAGAGAGAGGGAGAGAGAAAGAGAAACATCGATGAGAAAGAACATCAATTGGCCTCTTCCAGCATGCTCCCCACTGGGGATCTGGCCCACAAGCTGGGAATGCGTCCTGACTGGGAATTGAACCAGCAACCTCTTGGTGCATGACTCAATGCTCAACCACTGAGCCACACTGGCCAGACCTTTTTGCTTATTTTTATTGCCATTTCCCTTTAAAATCCAGTGGGAAAAGAATGTAGCAGTAAGTATAATGTCACAGATAGTAAAGTCAGGGGCTGGATTAGAGATGAGTTATTCTTCCCCCTTTCCTATCCCACATGTGCACACAGCTTCATAGCTGAGAAAATGGTTTTCAGAGAGAACCTTTACTTGTATGTGATCATAAAACTGAATTCGCTGTATAGCTAGGACAAAAATAAATCTAAGAGGCTTGGTTCTATCTCATTGTTTTTTGGTATCCCATTCTGTTACCAGACTTGAGTTTTTGGTGGTTTGTGTAGATGTTTCTTAAAAGACATTTTTGTTTGTTTGTTTGTTTCCTATTTAGCAACTCTTTTTCTTTCTTTTTAAAGATGATATCTTCTCCTCTGGTATCCAGGCTAAGACAACCAAACCAAAAAGTCGATCTTCACAGGCAGCACCTGAACCAAGATCTGAACAGAAGGTGGCCAATATATTTGATGATCCTTTGAATGCCTTTGGAGGCCAGTAGAGCATACAGGGTATCACATCTCACTCTTCAGCTACATCCTTGAGTTAATATGCTGTCTTATGCATTCATTGTCTTAACTGTATTTTAAGAAGCAAATACTGAAACGGTGCACTCACCTCTTACCAAATGCACTTTGTATTTTTCTGCACTGGTTTTAATCGTGCTTAATACTGCAAAACAAAAATAAATGTTTCACAGTGGTTTTTTTGTTTGTGTTTTATAAACTATATTTTGATTTAATTAGCCTTGCTAGAGCCACAGTATTATTTTGGGTGTATTAGGGAAGAAACCTATTTGTGCCTTTCATTGGTGGGCAAGGAATTCTAGAGGTAGCAAGCAAATGCCAGACTGATGACCAGGAGTCTTCCTTATACCTGGATGGGAGCCCTATCTTAGAGCCTGGGCAGATGGTAGAGGAAGAGGATGAGAGATTAACTATGTCATGAGTCTTTGCAATAGGAGAGGTTTCCTCTGATTCTACTGAGGTTTCCTTTAATATCTCTACAGGTCCACTAAGGGAAGATTTGACAAACTATGGCCCTTCACTATCTGTTTTTGAAAATAAAGATTTATTGGAACACAACCATACCCATTTATTTCCATATTGTCTATGGCTGTTTTTGCCCTACCTATAATGCCAGAGTTGAGTAGTTGTGACAAAGGTTGGATGGTCAACAAAGTCTGAGATAATATCTGGCCCTTTACAGAAATAGTTTGCTGATCCTTGCTCTCAGGAATCCATTTCCATTCCTTGTGATTCTGGATACAATAGGTCCAAAGCTGCTGGTCACTACTTGAGCCAAATTAAATAGTCAGGGTTGAATCATATACAATTGTCCCTCGATTGTCGCAGTTAATCTGTTCCAGACTCTAGTGGTTGCACTGGTGTTGAAGGATTCCTGGGGTGCTCGAATACATAGGCCTACAGTCCATACATCCAGTAATTTTAATTTTAATTGTAATACAGGGGTGTATAATTGACTCAAACAACCGAGCATGTGCTGTATCATTTTCACTGTCTCAATCAACTTTTTTTTTTATCCTCACTCGAGGACATTTTTCCATGTTTTGTTCAGATAGAGTGGGAGGAAGAGAGAGGAAGAGAGAGAGAGAGAGAGAGAAACATTAACGTGAAAGGGACACATCGAGTGGCTGCCACCCACACGACCAATCAGGGCTGGGGACAAACTGCAACGGAGGTACATGCCCTTAGCGGGAACCGAACCTGGGTCTCTCCGGACCGCAGGCCGACGCTCTAACCGCTGAGCCAAACCAGCTAGGGCTCGATCAACTTTTTAATGAATATATTTGAAAAAACCGCTATAGAGTGAAGCTGCGAAAGTCGGAAGTGCGAAGTGGCAAGGGACGACTGTATGGGCATTTGTTCCAATAATGCCAGCAGAATGGGGAGAGAAATTGGTCACCCTGCTCTGATCACTCCCCCGCCCCTTGCCATTTGGCTGGTTATATACTGGTGAGGAAGAAGATAACTAAGTGCAGCTGTAAGCTTCAAGTATAACAGGGAAAGGGGAGGGGAGGGTCTGCAGTCCCACCTTCGGGAGCTCAAAGTCCAATAACAAGGTGGCCAATCTTCTATGATGTTATAAACAGTTCAGCCCATTCCTGGGACCTGAGAATGGTCAGCGTTCCAGAGGCACACTCCCAGAGTGGGGGGTTCAAGGTCCAGGCACAACAACCAAATCAAAGCATGACCTGTCCTTGGTCTGTTCTCAAAATGTATTTCTTTTCTGAGCTTTTTACAGACCTGCTTTTGTTCTTGCAGCACATCCTCCAGTTTCCTATGGTCTGTAAGAAAACCTTTTATCTATAGTTAGTAAGATGAATAATCAAACAACTGTGATTCTATTTCTATTACGTGTCCCTCCCCTATGACTTGGAGCTTTGCATTATTTTGTGAAAGAGGCAGAATGAGCCCAGGTAACTGTAGGGAGAAGTGCTGAGGATGGTGGAAATGTCAGCCTCTAGAGGAGCACTGTTCCATAGAACTCTGCACTTAAGGGATGTTCTGTAATTGTGTTGTCCATTGAAATAGCTACTAGCCATGTAGATAGCTGTCCCTCCCAGGCGGTGCTTTCCTGTGCTGTGCCATCTTACTGTTCAGTAGTCAATCTGTAACAATAGCACAACTTTGTAGGCAAGATTGGTTCCACCAATCCTGAAGCCACTACCTTCTTTTTGGGGGCACTTTTATTTTTTCCCTTTATTGATTTTTTTAGAGAGAGAGGAAGTGAGAGGGAGAGATACGGAAACATTGATGAGAGAAAGAACATCGATTGGCCTCCTTCTGCACGCCCCCACTGGCCATCGGGCCCACAACCTGGGCTTGTGCCCTGACCGGGAATTGAACCGGTGATCTCTTTGTGCATGGGTCGACACTCAACCACTGAGCCACACCAGCCGGACTTCCTTGGACACTTTAAGATTGGAGTTGCTCATCTCATAGTTGAAGATTTTTTACAGCTCCCACAGGTCAGCTGTTGGCCCTGTTCTGCTTACCCCTGTGGCAGGAGAGGGGTGCCTACTAGTCACCTATTCCTTTCCCCTGACCCTTTTGTGCATCTACCTCTGTCCCTTTGGTTACTTGTGTCCATAGATGCCTGAGCCCACTGTGGTGTCTGACTCAGAAGGCATTTGTTAAATATGCTTTTCTTTTGGAGTGGTAAATCTGGTCTGTCATTAGGATTGATTCCAGGGAATCAGGAGAGTTAGAAATAGAGTTAGAAAACATGCAGATTGCTATTTTGAGAGGTTTGAAAGGGGAGGGAACTTATATTTATTGTTTTTTATGGTGGGCACTTTTCGTGTTATTTTATTTAGTCTCTGTAACTCAGATAGGTAATGTCCTCATTTTACAGATAAGGTTAAAATCTGGAAGCAGAATAGTGGAACAGGTTTGGATTTTTGTTCTGAGACCTAGATTTAAATCTGATTCTCCACTGTCTGAGTGTAGGCAAATTGTTTTCCTTTCTTAGCTTTTATTTGTTCCTTTGTCAAGCAGGGTTTTCGGTGCCAACTTTGCAGGGTTCTGAGGGGAGAGAATATGGAAAGCGCGTATTCAAGGCCGGCCTGCGGGGACGCTGGAAGCGCCCCGGCTCTGGAGAGGGCTGCGCTGCGGGGCCTGGGACTCCCCTGGCCACGCAGGAGCCAACCCGCCGTTCCCGGCAGCCTGTGCGCGGGTCTCCAGGCCGACGCCGGCCACCTGCCTGGGCTCTGGTCAGGTGTCTCCGACGAGTAATAAAGGGTCAACATCCGGGCCACTCCTAACCGACAGCCCCTACCGAACGCAAAGGAAGCCCGGTCCCCAGCAACTGCCGGCGCCGGCGGCCAGGCCTGATTGGAGGGTGGCGTGAGCGGCGGCAGGCGATTGGGTGCGTGTCACAAAGGGGCGGTGCGAGGCCGCCAGCGGAGCGCGTCCGTGCGGGGCGCGCCTCCCTGAGTGCCTGCGGCGGCGGGCGACCGAGCCAGCGAGCGGACCAGACAGCCGGTGAGGGCGAGCGGGCCGGATGGGGAGGGCGCCCCGGGCCGCGGGCCGCTGAGCCGCCGCCGGGGCCTCAGAGCCGCGCCCCTTAGCCGCTCCCGTGCTCCGCGCGCCGCCCGAGACCCTCGGCCGGCCGTCTTCGCCCCGGGCGCCGCCCCCACTTGCCTTCCCCTGGCCGCCAGCGAGGCGCCGCTCTGCGAGTGGCCGGTCCTGCCGCGGAGCCCGGCCCGTCCTCCCGCTCCCGCCCCGCGCCTGCGGAACCGCAGCTGCCCCGGAGGAGACGGCCGCGCAGGTGACTCGGGCGCCGCCGGCAGGGCTCCGCGGGCCCAGCGCCACCGGGAAGTGAGCCCAGGCCAGGTTCAGGCTGCACGTGCAGGTGTGGTGGTGCAGCTTCCGCAGCTTGTGATTAAACCGGGCGTTCTCACACGTTAGCAAAAACAGTTCATTGATAGTCACGATTTTTAATCTGCATATCAGTCAGGTTCTCTCCACGTTGGGGGCAAAATGGAAACGATAACTGCCCTTATGGGGCTAATATTCTCCAAGACAGAGGATAAAGCTGATCCCAAGTCACTGAAATTACTTATTCAGGGCTGTTATTGCCTTACCTGTCTTGAAGGTACCTTTCCTTTTTGGTGGTTGTATTTCTAAGAACTTTTTCAGAAGAGAGGAGAGAAATGTTTTGGGAATTGATTTACAAATGTTTTTTGATGCCATTACTCTTAATAGCTAAGTATGTGTTTTAAATTATTGGTAAAAATTCTGGAAGTAATTTTTTCTCTATCTGCCTTCCTTTCCTCTTGTTTTTTACCTTCTTGTTCTTGCATCATTTCCCATCCTTTGCGTCTTCATTGCCCTTCACTTCCCAGCATCACAGGGCTCCGTAATAGACAACCCGGCACCTTCAGAAACTGTCCATGGTCCCTGCTTTTAACACTGGCTAGGTCTTTGGCCTGCTGAGCTTCTGTTTGCCCATCTAGCGTCATCTAGTCCTCCAGTCAGTTTAACAAAATTTAATGGCCCAATTTTGTCCTCTGTTACAGTGATTTCTACTGCTGAGGAGAAATAGAATTCTTTTCTTGAGGCATACATTTCAGTTTTTTAAAAAATTTATCTTAATTGTTGAAAGTATTACAGATGTTCCCCCACCCCCACTGATCCCCTCTTGCCCTGCCCAAACATTTCAGTTTTGAGTTTGGTTACCAACCTTGCTGCTGCTGCTTCTTTTTTTTAATCCTTACCTGCAGACATTTTTGCATTTATCTTCAGATAGAGCAGGAGGGAGAGAGAAATATCCACTGGCTGCCACTGACACGACCCCAACCGGGGCCAGAGACAAAGTGCAACGAGGTTCGTGTCCTTAGCAGGCCCCGAACCCGGGTCTCTCCGGTCCACGGGCCAACACTAACCACTGGGCCAAACTGGTCAGGGAATCAACCTTGCTTCTTTTTTGGATATTGATTTACTCCATTGATTAGGGCCCAAAAGTATGGTGAGTATTCTAGCACAATTAATGCTGTACTAGGCTGCTGTTTTTCTTTTAGCCCATATTTTATCGATTCTCATGGTAGATGGACTTCCAAATCTGTCTTTCTGTTACTTTCTCCCATCCTCAACTTGTTTATTATTACATTCAGGGTATTGCTGTGGAAGAGTACTGTGTTGTGCTTATATCTTCCATCT